TTGTAATTTATTATTTGATTTTCTGTGATTTTAAACTTATTACTTAGACTCAATGTGCTAAAATAATTTATCATTTAACTCCTGATGGTTTCAAATTTTCACTTAGACTCCTTGTGTGTACAAATTTTTTTACTTAGATCCCTTGTGGTTTAAAAAATAAATATTTTAAATAAATTTTCTCTCCTTTTTATTTTATATCCTCATGTAATGCATTTAGGATGTTTCAAGTTATTTATTCTGAAATTAATTTATAAATTATTTTAATTTTTTATTTATTTTTAAAATATATTTGAAATTAAAAAAATATTATTTAAGATAAATTAAATATGTATTATCAAAATAAGATATTTACTTTCTTTAGATAATTTTATAATGATATCGGGTAAAATAGATATAATAAAACAATATTTGATTTGAATTTATTTTCTTGATAAAATAATTGAATTTTTTTAAGTTTTTAAACCCTAAATATATTAGGTGAGGAAATAAAATAAAAAAGAGGAAAAATTTATTTTAAATTTTTATTTTTATAACCACAAAGATTATAAATAAAAAAAATTCTAACTATAAGGTGTCTAAGTGAAAATTTGAAACCACGGGAGTTAGATAATAAATTATTTAAACATAATAAATTTATGTGATATATTTAAAACCATAGAGGATCAAATAATAAATTACAAAATTACAATGGGTGAAAATAAAATTTTCCTTCATATTTATATCCTATCTGAACCCGATACATACAGGAAAATGACACGAATTACCACCCTAATATAATGCAATACTAGAAAGTAAAATTATTTATTATGCATGTGATTTGATATTGATGTCAATGGTATCTATCGGACGCGTTACTCCCATGCCATGGGACACTCTCATGCTTACTTATTAAAACCGGACCAACACGGCCGGGTCGATTCGGAAACTGGTAAACCAGTCATATAACCGATCCGGTTGAAGCAACGAATCGACCATGCATCAGAATCGATCCGATCCGGTCTGACCCGGCTGGTTTTCATAAAAACCAGTGATCCGTCCGGTCCCACAAAAAAAAAACATTCCAAATTTTTGTTTTTTTCAAAAATTAATCATAATAGTCATATTTGAATATTTTTTGGCTTATTGACTTACATAAGTTATATACATACAATACTAAAATTATCTCAATTATGTACTATGCATAAAATTTTGAATTATTTATAGTTAGAGATGTTGTTTTCTGAACCTAAAGCCCCGTATCACGATCATTACATTTTTATTTGATTTTTTATTTGATAATGATATGTGATTTATTATTTTTTGTATTAAAATATTTGAAATTTTTATCATTTTTTTTAGATATTTGAGTATGTTTATAATTTTTAATATAAATTATAAAATTACATGTAATTACCGGATCATGCGGTTGAACCAGTGACCCACTAATTGAACTAGTGACCCGGTACCTCGACCAGATCAATGACCGAGCCGATTTTAATAAGATTGGTCTCATGTACACGTAACTCCAAGTTTCCAATTAAACTCAAAATGAAAATTTGACAAAGATGTCACTCGTTAGGGCTTCAAAAAAAATATGTCTGACAGTTAGTCCATTTTGTGAAGTCTATAATTTATGTGAGTGGAGCACTCAAAACCACCTGACACTTGTCTGCGCGTGCGACTTGGAAGTTGAAACCAGTTGTGGAGTAGCGGATTCATGGTAGCACTGATTGCTAAGAATCATTCAAGATTATTAAGTAGTTTGCGTTAAAATAAAGGTACTATTTCAAATTTCCAGTTTTAATTCGGGATTAATTCGATACTGGCTTCAAAGAATTGAAACTCGTGAAGATACTAAGGATCAACTCTTTTCAAAAAAGAAATTAAAGTCGATATAAAAAAGTACGATATTGTAACAACTCACTAAGGTTATTATTAGGGGTGTAAATGAGTCAGGATAGCTTAGCTCAGCCTACAGCTTGACCTACATTGAGCCTGGCCTAGCTCGGCCTTTCAGAAAAATAAAGTAGGCTTAGGCTTATAAGAAAGCCTTTTTAACAAATAGGCTATAGGCCAATTTTGTCAAACTTGACCTAAAGCCTTGTAGGCTGGCCTATTTGATTTATTAAAATAAAATAATGTAATAATATTTATTTTATGTGGCAAAGTACCAATACCAACCCTCATTTTATGGTTACATTATAGACTCATAGTCATCTCTTACTTTTTGTGCTATTTTATTTTATGAAAGAAAAACTTGTCTAATGTCTCCAAATTTTACATGCTGTTGCGCTTAATACCATGAAGCAATGGGTACCTTGCTGGATTATGATGTTACTGATGAAGATCTTTCAATAATACTCTTCTTTCCCTTGTCTTGATGGTGGTTTAAAGATTTTTAGATGAATGACATTCTCTTGTAGACTTTATTTCAGCACCCAATAATTGTATTTTTCTTATTTTTCCCATTTCTTTGACTCTATTCCTCTATAATATACATTCTAGAACTGGGGTATTATGTTGACTCTTTCTTGTTTGTCATTTTTTTCTTATGAGAAATACTAGTGCATGCATGAATGGAACTTTCTTTGCTCTATACAATTATTTTCTTTGCTTAGTATCTACAGTTGGAGGCCTACAAGGCCTGTAGGCCATGTCAGGCTTTCTTATTTTTAAAAATAGGCCGGGCTTGACCTACAAAGAAAGCCTTTAATAGGCCAGTAGGCCAGATAGGCTGAAATTTTTTTTACGTAGGCTTGGGCCAGGAAGGTCAAAGCCCAGCCCATTTACACCCCTAGTTATTATCAATCAATTTCACCGTTAGATCGATTATATTAATCTAACGGTTATATTTATTTTCATCTTTATATGGTTATGATTCTCCATATTTAATGTAAAAGCATTAAATATGAGAAATCATAATTATACAAAGGTGCAAATAAATATAAAGTATTAAATATGAGGATTCCTAACCATACAAAGATGGAAATAAATATAACCGTTGGATTAACATAATCGATCTAACAGTAAAATTGATTGGTAGTAACTCTAGTTGGTTATTACAATATCCTACCCGTAAAAAAAATTATTAAGTTTGAATTTTCGAGGAAACTTTTTCTCATTTTTTTTTTTGAAAATTAATTTTCTTAATTTTTAATAAATAACAAATATCGGTAACTTTATTGTTTCAATATTAATTTTAACATAATCGGCATCGATCAACTTGTTACGGGATAATAAGAGGTTGTTTTCATTTGTATTAATACCATATAAACTAGAGATCAAATGGAGGATCAACCGTTTTGGGTCTAAGATGAAGACTAAGCATAAGTGGAAGGTGAAATGATTCCTCTTATGAACTTCATAGAAATGATTCCTATCCTTCTTGATGTGAAAAGGGTGAGCCAAAATCGTTTTGTCCTATGAACTTCATAGAGGTGTGAGACAGCATTACTTCTCATGTGAGAGTGTCACATGTGTAAGGGAGGGAGTGTCAAATGGGAATCAAGGAATCGATCATTTCATGTGTTAGTTAACGTAACTATGTCACGTGGAAGGATCTTAATCATTTATGGACAAATCAATGACGATGGAAATGAGACGGAAAAAATATTAGAATAGGAAGTGATAAAATCATTACTATTGATTTATCGATAAATTATTAAGATCTTCTGATATGATATGTTCTAACTAACACATAAGATGATCCACTATCAGAAAATCAAGTGTAAAGAGATCTTTAGCCCTTTAGTGGAAGTGAGAGGTTCGACCTATGGAACAAGCTCAATTTATTGGTCTAGAACAAATTCTAAACCCATTAAATAATAAATGAATTAATCATATTGTTAGAGATATATAAAACCATTAATGTAACATCACCCACTAGCTTAAGCTTTTGGGTTAGATTGGTTCTTTAGATGGTATTAGAGCTTAGATGTCACATGTTCGATTCTCACTTCCCCCACTTTCTCTTGTGAAATTTCTTAGCATAGGTACGCTGAGTCTGATGAATCATCCACCCTTCAAATCCAATGAGCTCTCATATGAGGAGGCGTATTAGAGATATATAAAACTATTAATATAGCCTCACCCACTAGCTTAAGCTTTTAGGTTGAATTAGTTCTTTACACATAGATGTATTCGCGGTCTGGATTGGATCGATTTTGGAAGCAAAAATTATCCGATCCAATCTCTTCGGTTTGATCATGTAATCATCCATTCGGTTTGAATTTTTTTTCAAATCCGATCAGATCCAATCCAATTTTTTTCTGTTTGGATTGGATCGGTTTTTTGAAAATCCTAAAATTTGTTTCATGATTATTGTGCAAATGACATCTTTTGTATATATTGGCTTTGTAAATTTTTTTTTTTTGAAATACAAAAAATCAGTAAACGATAATATAGTTTTTTTTTTTGGCAATAAGATATGAAGCTCTACACAGATAAAATTTTGTTGATGAGACGTGACTAGGTTTTTTCTTGGGTTTAGTTGATGGGTTAATGGATCTTGGGTTTAGAAAATTTGGGCTATGATTAGGGAAAGACCCAAGTAGGTAGAAGAAAATTAATATATTAGATCGGTTTGGATTGAATCGGTTTTCATCAACCAATCCGAAAACCGATCCAATCCAATTAAAATTTGCAGGTTTTTTTTGGTTTTTGATTTTTCGGTTCGGTCATCGCGGTTTGAATCGGTTGATGAACACCCGTATTTACATATATGATTATAAATATTTAATTTTGATGATTAATCTATGGAAAAAATATTTGAATTCTTAACCTGAGAAAGAGGTGATCATGGAGTGATGTTTGGTTTGGTTTGAGTGCATCTTCTCATGTTTCATTTATTATGACAAGGTCACGTGAGATTATATTGGTCATCAATCAACTGTTAATTATAACATACTTGGTACACCAATAATTATAGTGTGAGACACAGAATGCAATTAAATATGAAATGTTGTGTCAATTTTAAAAAATATGAACGTTGTGTGTAATGCAAGGCAACACAGAGTCATCACATGAGTATATGTTTCTTACCATTACGTTACAAAGGTAATAATTATGGTATTATGTTTCTGCATAAAGTTCTTCTACTATAGATCGGACAGCCAATGGTATCCTCACTTGATGTAACCCATCTTCCCAGAACAAGTACCCAAATGAGAATCTGCTTTGAACTCGTAGCTTCGAAGAAAACGTTACCTTGAATTTCATTTTCTTTCGTTTAGAACTAAACGTTAAGATTGATGGCTCAACTGTTACTGATATGCCAATTGGAGCTACAACACGAGCAATGTAGACCGATTTAATTGGGCCAACATTAGTGACTGTTCTTGATACCGTCAAGGTTTGCTTAAGCTCGGGAACAGTTATAGAAGGCAGGTTCATATTCAACAGGAACTTGTGTGATTTACGGCACTTGGTAGGATACCCTGTTAATAAACTTATGGCAGTGTCATTGTAGCCCATAGAACATAAGAAAAGAAAGTAATCTGAGGTTTCCAAGTCATATACAAGACCAGGATCTGTCACTTTGTTAGGATCAACATGACCACCACCATAGTCAAATGGGTCAGCTTGTTTATGTGGTGCTCCCTCAGCTCCAATATATTGATTGTATTCATTTTTCACAGAAGCTTCATTCAAAAAATGGGGATAAAGTTAGGGGCATCAATAACTTTGAAAAGGGACTTGTGATATATATATATATCTATATATATATATATATATATATATATATATATATATATATATATATATATGGGGTAGGATCGTTTGATACCGGTGTCAAATTTAAAGTTTGACACCTCATTTAAAAGCCGTTAGATCAAAAAAGATCAACGACTTTGATTTATAAGTATGTGATACCATTGATCTTTTTTGATATAACGACTCTCAGATAAAATGTCAAACTTTAAATTTGACACAAGTGTCAAAAGATCCTACCTTTATATATATATATATATATATATATACGGGAAATCTTTTGACTCCGGTATAACATCTATGAAAGTAAGTATATATATATAATGTACCAATGAGCAGAAAAATATTTTCCCCAATGATAAAATTTCTTATGAGCGAGCCCTTTTTACCTGTTGTGATAAGTGCAGACTTGATTGCAGCAGGGCTCCAAGTTGGATGGATAGTCTTTATAAGTGCCAAAATACCTGTTATGTGGGGGCATGCCATGGAAGTTCCTGATTCAATGTTGAAGTTAAGAGGAGGTAACTCATCTTGATTTGCATCAGATAGCACCCGGGCAGAAGAAGCAGGTGACCATGCCGCCAGAATATCAACTCCAGGAGCAGCAATGTCAGGCTGCACCAGATTGATGAAGATAAAGCTTTAGATTTTCATATGACAAAAACTATTTCCTTGATAGAAGAATGATCAGAACCTTCAACACTGAAGGAGAAAGAGAACTTGGTCCTCGGGAAGAGAAGAATGCCACTTCCGGGGATATCTGTTGCCCAACAACTGTTTTGGTCTTGCTAAACTTGATTACAGGATTCCTACAACATATGCATTCATCAGAATATATTTAGAATAAAAGTAATGCTAGCAGGAAATATTAACTTCTTAGCTGTTGGTGCAAAAGCATTAAAAATGCAAAGAACCAATGGAATGCCAAATTGCAACCATTATTAATTACATAATTCGGTCAATGACCCCAAGACCATGTTATTATGTTTCCAGACTTTGCATAATAAAGAATAGATGTTGCTTTGCCAGATTAATTACCTAGTTGCTTCCATATATGATAGAATTGTAGTTCCAGTTATGAAGTCAACTTGGGCAGAGGGCTTACTCCCCGATATAGTAACATCCTTAGTGGGAAACTGAGCAAATATGAGACCAACACCCTCAACTTCCGTTACAGTGTTTATAGCAACAGTGGCTGACCTCTGTGACGGAGACTGGAAACACAGAATTGCTTTTCCTTTAGCTAAGGTGGCATTGAGGCTTCCAGAATTGCAGCTTCTGAGCAGAAAAAAATTAAATATGCACTTTCACATTCCGGGTTTCACATATATATCACGCCAACAAGTAGGAAGATAACTTTACCTTGCACTTTCTTCATCTGCATCCGAAGCTGCTATGTCTTCTCCGTACACTATAGGATAAAACTTGCTCAAATCTTTCCCCGTATATAAACTCTGACCCTATACGAGGAAACAAAATATAGTTCTGTGTCTGCACTGAAAACGGTTATTCTAGCAAGGACGCTAACTAATAAAAATTAATGTTGGTGTCTGTTTGCTCAGTTTCAAGGTTTAAAATTAAGTGCTTCCGTCAGAAACTAGAATAAAATTTTTATATAAAACTTTAATAAAATATCCCTTTAGGCTATAGAAATTTAATTTTAATTGCAATTAAGGTTTTTTTTGGTCAGTGATTGGAATCTTTAGACAATATTAAATCACCTGAGCATGGAATTCCATTTGAATCTAAGATTACAAGCCTAGTATTCACAAAAGGACATCCTTAAGAATCAAAACGAAAAAAAAAAATGAACAAACTACTTGCACAAATAGGACATCCACAAGAATTAAAATGAACAAATTATATCAACATCATCAACATCAACAACACTTTTAACCCAAGTTAATTGGGGTCGTTGGTAGATGAACCCAATGATAGATAAGAGGAGATGTAGTTTTGTTTCATACTTGACATGTCAAGCATATATTCATACAGAGGAAGAGGTTCATTACTGTCATCTGAAAATCCTAAATTTTGCTCATTTTGTGTTGCTAAATAACATCCCGGTCCTTGTTTGAATAATAACTGCTTTATATTCATTAAGTTTTTGAAGAATTTTGCAATGAAACTTCTACCCAGAAAAAGCACAAAGATGAAGTACCTGTAGAGTTTGATTGTTTCCCAAGATAAATCTAGATGGAAATTCCCTGTCGATGGTGCTGGCAGCAACGGTAATAACCCATGGGGCAGTATTTATAACAGTTTGAGTATATGGGCCAGAATTGCCACCAGAGCATACTACAGAGATTCCTTTAGCTACAGCATGGAAGGAACCAATGGCAAGAACATCCTCAACATAAGTAGGAAGTGGAGGATATGAGCCAAGAGATGCTGAAATAATGTCTACTCCATCAAATATTGCATCATCAAATGCTGCAAGAAGGTCAGCAGAACTGCAGCCCCCAGTAGACCAACAAATTTTGTAGATAGCTAACCAAGCTGATGGAGCACCACCTCTTGCTGATCCTTTAGCTAGTCCCATGAAGCTTGCATTTTCTACTAGAGCACCAGCTGCAGTTGATGCCGTGTGAGTTCCATGTCCTGATGCGTCTCGGGGAGATAAGTACTCTACCCCATCACTTGAATTTAGTTTACCAAATTCAGCTTCATACCCTTTGATATACCAGCGTGCACCGATAATTTTCCTGCCATTTTATGGAAGGACAAGAGTGTAGATACCTTTCAGTATCATGACAAAACAGAAAGGATGAAATTAAAATAGTAGTAGCCAATGGTCAAACTGAACAAGCAGTTATATGAGCTACTGGTTTTACAGATATAGTATAGAACTACATGTCTAGGCATGACTAGTACTTCACGTACTCACGAGGGTTCTTATTGGCAGGGGTCTGGGGAAGCTGCCCCGGTGAGGGTCCGGGGCGCAGCCCTACAGGCCCGTAAACATTAGGTACTATTGTAGGATTCTAATTTATTGTAATTTTTTTTTTTTAATAGTTTGGACTTGTGTCTATGAATAACTTTTGTTAAGGTTTTCTAATCTTATTTATATTCTCCTTGTAAATTGAGTGACTTATAACGAGTGGTGGTGAGATGAATATAGTACAGACAAGCTGGGCTGGACGTAGTCTATTTTGGGTGGAACAAGTGTCAATCTCTCTTCCCTTTTCTCTTTTCTATTTTTTCGATTCGTGTGATTGTCAATTTCCAACAGATATACAATTAAACTGTGTCGTTTAGTCACTTACATCATATAGCATGCAAAATTATGAAAGTGATATTCACATCAAAGAAAAGAAAATGTCACAAAGGAAAAATAAAGGAAATCAAATGCCTAGAAATAAATTTGATCAACCTATTACAGTGGGAGCGGTCAAAGTTATCTCCTACTTGGCATATACCGCGCCAACGAGGAGGAGGATTATCCATGTGGTCTTCTCTAAAGCTCTCAGACTCGGGCCAAATACCTATGGAACAAAAAATTATGTAAGCACAGTCCCATTTTATGATTTTATCAAGGACATGCTTATACAACAATTCTATACTAACCAGTGTCCAGGATGCCAATGATGGTGCCTTTTCCAGATTGACCCCTAGAAAGAACACCAGTCACTATATCCTGCTTGACGTTCAAGAAATCCCAACTTCTTGTTGTGTGAAGACTAAGAATTCTGTTTGGAATCACACGGACAACTCCTGGGAAATCTGCATGTAAAAAGTGCAGACAAGGAAAGAAAACTATTACAGGTTGGCAATCACCGATTGAGATATGATAAAGTTCTCACGCCAATGTAGAAATGGTATCAATCAAAATAATTGGAATTAGAGATTTTCAATTTTTCCTTTAAAATATATTTCATAGGTATAGACGTATAGTTTTTACATAACGTTTTACTGAACTCATTCTCGTGCTTTGGCTTTTCATTAGGCACTTCTTTTTTACATTATTTTAAAACATTCTAGTAAATGTAACAAACTGACCGGGACTCTTTAATGGTTTATATTATACTCTAATATGTCCTCTTACAAGAGAGCCCGTTGAACTTGAAAAATGGACAATGCACAAGCTCAATGCTAAGAAAATTCCACAAAAAATGAGGGGTAGCGAAGATCGAACTCGAAACACAAGGCTCTGAATTCAATGGCGGAGCCAGTTGGAAGGTAGATGATGCCTTGGTACCACCTAATTTTTTAAAATGGTATAAATTTTCTTTAAATTTTTTGATACAGCTTTAATATTAATTGGATTTTTAAAAATAATACAACCTTAGTACCACCTGATTCTACTTGGTCAGATCTTTTGGCACTACCTAACTTTTTCCCCTAGATCCGTCATTGGCTCTGATATCATGTAAAGAATCAATTTAACTCAAAATCTTAAGCTAATAAGTAAATGTCTCTTTAATAATTTATATTATACTCTAACAAAACATATCACGAGAGTTTACTAGATTTGCTTCACAAAATATCCACGCTATTAAAAGTCTCAAGGTCCATCCTCACAAAATTGTTCACCTCATCATGCAGGACAGTTAGTCAAAGGTGTTATGATGCACAAGATCTTCATAGAGGTCAAGCGCAAAGCATACTATGAGGGATTCATTCTTGGATGAGCAGCTTTAGTGAGATTGATATCCTTATTTAATTGAACTTAAATTGAATGAAATTTTTCTCATTTTTTCTATATGGGGTTTGGATGGTTAAAATTTTCATGACTGTATATGCACAAAGCTTTTGAAGCTTGTTTTTTTTTTTTTTTTTTGATAATAAAAGCTTGTTTTGCCAATCAACACAAACAATCCCCGAGTATTGGCGGAGACAAACTTGCCAATCAACCTAAATACATCACTGATTGAGATTAGAAAAAATACCCACCTAACTGCATTGAATCTACATATTTTATTACTATTAACACTGCAAGTATCACACTTATTTTCAAATTAAGTAAACCATACTCACCTAGCTGCATTATTCCACTTATATTTTTATTATTAATACCACATGCATCACACTTATTTTTAAATTAAGTAAATCATACTCTCCTAAATGAATTTTTCCTCTAATTTGTATATTATTATTATCACATGTATGACACTTATTTTTAATACTCACCGAAATTAAGTAAATCATACTCACCGAAATGCATTATTCTCTAATTTGTTTATTATTAATACCACATGTATCACACTTATTTTTAAGTTAAGTAAATCATACTCACCTAAAAGCATTATTCCAGTGATTTGTTTATTATTAATTCCACATGTAGCACACTTACTTTTAAATTAAGTAAACCATAATTCAGGAATACTAAAAATTTACTCAATACTTGGCCATGATTGAGACTGTGGCCTCAACACCTCTGTCAAGTGTTAAACATCAATATCACGCTCGTTATCTTGTTCTATCTCCCTAGAATTTATAGGCCAACACTTGTGATTTCGTGTGAAGATGAAGGCCAGAAAAACTTGCTAATTTGATGTCAATAATTTTCTTCAGATTTTAATCCAAACGAAGAAAAAATTTGAAGTCTGGTATCCCTTAAAATTAGAAAGAATGGTTTTACTTTTGTAATAGAACTTTTCATAAAATATTAATCTTCAAAACTTTCACTCTCATTTTTAAATCTAATTTAATTATATTTTTGCACTGAAAGTATTGACCAATGCTGTCACATATTGACTAAAACTGTGAAGTACCTGCAAGAAGCTTAGCTTGAGACTGACGTAAAACTGCTGCAAATCCAGAAAAACCATGCTTATAGCTATACAGGATGGACTTCTTAGCCGCGCTTTTGCTGTTAAAAAAAAAGAAAAAAAAAAAGGATAGCAGATTATCAATTTTAATTTTTAAAACTGCAAACAGGTCCAATCAGCATTCTTTAATAAAATTTCATTGTATTAATCCAAACGCCATTTGTTTCAATTATTTTCCGGAAAACAATATGCAAGGAAGTATGTGGAAGGTATGCAGTGGAAGGTATACCTATTTTGATGCACAAATGAACATATTTGGAGTTTTGAACTGAAGCAAGTTCATTGAAAAAGAAAAAAAATGATTTAAAGTGAAACCTTCCAAGAATATGTGAAAGTATGTCAAGGTGGGAGTCTTCAACTAGGTGTTGCTCACTCTGGTGGATTCTGTCACCCATATACACAATATGAACCTACAAAGAACCGAGAATAAGAATGAGAACCAAATAGGGATGAAAAACGAAAAATAAAGGAACCCCTATAGCTATTCCAAGATGCTACCATGAGAAAAATGAAAATATGATTAGTAAAAAATAGGAATAACAGAGTTTACATTGCTTGACGTAGAGGCCACACAAAAACAAGATTGTTGCAGGGCAAGAAGTACTAAAGCAATGGCTAAATTCCAAGCAAGAGCCATGAGGGAGCGAAACCAAGAATGAAAAACCAAATAATACCACTCTTTGAATGATAGTTTGGCTTAGTATACTGAAGATTTTTGATTGTGTGTGTGTATGTGTGTGTGTGGTACTATTTGTAGGTGCGAAAGGAATTCCCACTAAGTACCTGTGCTCTCTACCACCACTGATAGCATTTACTCAGTGGTGGGCTCTGTGTTAGCTTTTTGGCTCCATTATTTATTTTTGGAATCTTCGTTTCTTTGGATACCTATTGGGGGATTCATGACATGAAAATGAGCTTTTATCTATTTAGTACTTTAACGTCTCTTTGTGGATGAAGCAAACACTTCCTTTGGCGTTGACTACACTATTCACAATTGGGACACTTGATGGTTGTTGAGATATATAGTCCCACGTTGGTTGCATGTGCAATAAGACCGTGAGCACTCCCACCATCAGAACTAGCTTTTGGAGTGGTGTATGTCAAGGTTCTTTACATGGTATCAGAGTCTCGTCGTCCCTCACTTTCTCTTGTGGAGCACAGGTAGGAGGCTGGGCCTGTTTCATTGTTCACTCTTCAAGCCCAATGGACTCTCGTGTGAGGGGGCGTGTTGAGATATATTAATGTGGCATTTATAAGGATGTGGGCACTCTCACCCTTTGACTTTGAGCTAGTTTTTGAGGTGATGTATCCCAAAAACCCTTTGACTTTGAGCTAGCTTTTGGGGTGGTGTATCCCAAGATTCTTTACAGGTGTCAACATCCTATTTTATTTATTGCTTATGATATGTGAAATGTGATCTCGACAAGGCAACATGACAGTTTTCCAAGCCGGGGTTAATCAAGCCATGCCCTTTGATCCTAACATGATTGTGCTTCCCAGTTAACCATTTTGGAAGAAAGACTAGCTAATAGTATCTTTTTGCTATTAGCTGAGAAATAAGATTATTCATTCTGCAGATTTGTTGTCAAGTGCCTTGGTAGAAACCCCATAACTCCGAGTGAGGTAGGCACATACATACGAGTTAGTTTGATTTTGGGGGAAATTTTTTTTGAACCAATCGACAATAGATTTGTTCTGTTCGATTTTTTCGACTCATTGAGTTAGTTCATTTCAAGTTTAGCTATTAGTTATGGCATAAGTTACACTTTCAATACTTGTTATTTTACCTATCTCTTCTTCTTTTTCTTCGTGGGTACTTATTATTTATAAATATTATTAGATTAAAATTTTAATTAATATTTATCATTTCTCTTTTTTATTGAAATTCTGATTTAATGGTGTTAAAAATTGATAGTCAAGATAAGCATGAAAAAAAAATAGATAAAATAACCTATCCTTTACAAATATGACCACAAATTTTAGAAAAATGTTATTTTTTATTTTTTATCATACATAATATTTACGTCATATATTATTATCTATTTAAACGTTACGATTATTTTTGGTTGAAAAAACGTACCACCATTGTATAAAGGTATTGACATTTAAAAAAAAAAATATCATGATAACATTTAACATTTTTCAATTTTATAATTATTTCAAAATATTTGTTGATAATTTTAATTATTAATAATTTCATTTATGTTCCTAAATAAAAAGATTGTCACTTATAATATAATGGGCTTCCGAAATGGCCCATTAATGCGGCCTGCTAGAACGGGTGAGAAATAAAAGAAAAGAATTTTATTTTATTTTTTTTGAAAAGATCAAACTCCACAACTTTCACTGAATTTCTAATTTTTATTAACTCAGCGTTTGACAGGGGAGACGTTTTATCTTTTCAAAAGGTGAAAATTGAAATTTAAAAAATAAATGAAAAATAAAAAAATAAAAAAATGTTTTTCCAAACGAACAAGTTTCTCGAGGAAGGATCCAAAGCCCAATGAATGGAGATAGTGTTAATGTTGTTGGTGGTGGATTGGTGCTTATGAGACTGAAACTAATACTGTGGCTTTGATTCAATTCATTCGCTTCTCTCCTGAATGGATGCTATTAGAAAGCAAGCCTCCAAGCTTCGCGAACAGGTCGCTCGCCAACAACAGGTTCTCATGCAAAACCTATGTCTCTATTCTTCACCAGATCTTTCGCTTTATTCTCTCTTTCTGTGAATTTCGTTGTATGTTCCCATGGTTCTCTTTCCATTTGTTACGGTTTTATTGCATTTTTCTTTTTCTGATTCGATTTTCGTTCTGGTCTTTTTAGTTTTGTGTTATAACCGTGTAATTTTTTGTTCTCGTGAATATGATACCGCAGTGTATCGGATCTAATCGAATTCGGCACTTGCATTGCGAAAATCAATAACGAAAAGCTGTAGATTAAATTTGAATTTTAAGCTTGTGTCTTATGCATTGAACTCGGTAACAGATTTCAAAATCACCGAGCCTGGCGTGTATCTCTGTTTCTGTACCGTTAATTATGATGATTAAGCTCTAATTTGTTTCTTATTTTAGTTATTTTATTTTATTTTTGTGTTCCTGTTTCTCAAATGCTCCTTCATTTTGCTTGCTTCCTTTATCATGCGTGTTAATGAAGATTCTGAAATATTGCTATTTAGGCTGTTCTGAAACAGTTTGGGGCTGGCGGGTATGGAGGTTCAGATAATGTGGTTACCGATGAGATAGAGTTCCAGCTACACCAGAAACTTGAGAAACTTTATATATCAACACGTGCGGGGAAGGTTAATTGGTTCTTTGACGCGAATCCTCTATTTTCGTTTATTTTTCACCTCAATTTTGTCTCATCTCTCCTAGACTGATAATGGTACCTATTGTATTTTCAGCATTATCAAAGGGATATTGTCCGTGGTGTAGAAGGTTATATTGTTACTGGGTCCAAGCAAGTTGAAATAGGTAATAAATATTGGTTAGTGAAGCTTTTATATTTTATTGCAGTTAGTTTGCAGAAAAATGTTATTGAATTCCTATATTTCTTATTTAACAGGAACAAAGTTGTCAGAAGATAGCAGGAAATATGGTGGGGAAAATACATGTACCAGTGGTAGTACATTGTGCAGAGCTGCACTAAGTTTTGCACGAGCCCATGCTCAAATGGAGAAAGAGCGTGGAAACTTATTAAAAGCTCTTGGCACACAGGTACTATATATGTGTCGGTGACTCGGTAGGTATATGTGTGGGGTGTGTTTGGAGTGTAATGTATGAGTTCATCGTGCAGCTACTTGTAATTGTAAGATTATAAGGGTCAAATCTGACTTCACAGAAGTAATGATGGGGGTTTTCCCTAACTGAACTGTTTTACTGAATATGAATGGGATTTACTGATATTCAAATTTATGTAATCTCATGAAAAAGGAATATGTAGGCCTGATCCAAGTCCAATATTGAATTGAATTTAATAGCCATACTCATATATCAAGTTCATCTATCTCACTCTATTTCATAATGGTGGCTCATATTGTTGATTTATCCAGTGTGTGCTTGCCATCTCAGCGTAATAATTCTGTGATTGAAGTCATACTCCATTCTGATTAGGTTGCAGAGCCCTTAAGGGCAATGGTTGTGGGAGCACCATTGGAGGATGCTCGGCATCTTGCTCAACGTTATGACAGAATGCGACAGGAAGCTGAAGCCCAGGTATTCTAGAATTTATCTTTCATTTGATTTTTCAAAACTTGATGGGCTTCCTTTTTCATTTCCGCTTTTTTTAGTCCTTTTCTTCTCCTGTGTTTCAGTACATGTTTCATTGATGATTTTATTTTTCCTATCTTGTCTTTTGAACCTAGACAGGCTATTGAAGTTTCTAAACGCCAGGCAAAAGTAAGAGAAATGCCAGGCAATGCTGAGAGTGTTATGAAATTAGAAGCAGCTGAAGCAAAGCTGCAAGATCTGAAGACAAACATGGCCATACTGGGGAAGGAAGCAGCTGCCGCATTGGCTGCTGTTGAAGCACAGCAGCAGAGGTTAACCCTTCAGCGTATTATAGCTATGGTATTAAAGTTTTTCCTTATGATTATGCAACTTTTTAATTTAATGAAATCTTGGATCTGAGATATAACAAATCATAACTTCTAAATAATCCCGCATTTTATTTCTTCTTGAAGGTTGAAGCAGAGCGTGCATATCATCAAATAGTCCTACAAATACTTGATCAGCTTGAGGGAGAGGTACGCAATCATATCACTTGGTCATTTTACCATTCTATTTGCCATACAAAAGGCAAATATGCCATCTGACTGGTAATTTTCTCTGGCTATAAACATATGATTATGTGCTATATTAATGATAGGTGATATCAGAGCGACAGAGAATTGAAGCCCCTCCTACTCCTAGTATGGATAACAACATGCCACCACCCCCATCATATGAAGAAGTGAATGGTGTCTATGCTTCTCAGACACATAATGGATCAACAGATAGCATGGGTTACTTCTTAGGAGAGGTTAGTAAGACACCGTTTTGTATGCACAGGGATATTAAATATTGAAAAGCAAGTGACCGCTTTCTCCTTTTGTAACTTATATTCTTCTTGCAGGTTATGTTTCCATACTCTGCTGTGTCTGAAGTTGAGCTGAATCTATCCGTTGGTGATTATGTTGTTGTTCGAAAGGTTCATAGCTTGCTGAATCTGAACATAACTATAGCTTTCTTTGAAAAAAAAAATGGCTTATCTCCCATTCTCTCTCTGGCTGGGGAGGGTGCTTCTAATGGATTGCTTTGTTTTTTAACCATCATTTCACTTATCGTAATGAATTAGTATTATTTTCAAGACTGGTACAGGAATAACCAAATAAAATGCATTTATACCGTTATTATGTAATAGTAGTGAAGCCCTTCTCCTATCAGTTTAAGCCTAAGACAGAATTGGTAACTTAATATGAAGTCAGAACATGATTGATTATCACCGATTCAACATTGAATGATTGTTTGGTCATCCATTTATGACGTGGCCTGTTGTCCCAATTCAGGCAGCTGTGGTTGACATGCTAGTGGCTAGCGTAAAATCTTTGTTTTTCAAGTTGGTGCGATTATCTTTGGATCTCAATATGGTTGTTGTGGTTTTAACAGGTGACGAACAACGGATGGGCCGAGGGTGAGTGCAAAGGGAAAGCAGGTTGGTTTCCGTTTGGTTACATTGAAAGACGGGAGCGGGTTCTTGCAAGCAAGGTGGCTGAAGTGTTCTAAATTTTTTCCTGTTAGGTTAGTTTCTTAACCTGGGGATTTTTGTATGTGTGTATGCAGTGCTTTTGTAAAACAAAGATGTGTGGTATAGATGCCAACTTTTCCGTTGTGATTATCAATTCTTACTTATATATGAATATTTGGTTATCTATTTTTATTTTATTGCACTCAACTTGTTTCCTCCTCAGTTTGTCGAGCGATTCCGACCAACTTTGATTGCAGCTATAAGCATATACGGTCGAAGCATGTCCCGCATTGAATATCAGGTTATCCACACCTACTAGAAGTGATAAGTACTATTAACAAATTTTAATATGTACAGGGATGATAATAGGCAGGGTCTTCTGTAGGGTACCCTGAATATTTATGTCCATATTTGTATTTAAAGAAAAAGAACTATATTTAAACTTTAATATATACACGAATAGTAACTTTAATGTTCATGTTCATATATATCCAATATATATATATATATATATATATATATATAATTATTGATTTTCTTACATCTAACTATTGTAATTTATTGTGAATAATTCAATTATTTATAGTCATTTGATAAACGAAAATCAACTATTAAATTAAGTGAGATTTATTATTTTTTCAGCAACATAAATTGATATGTTCCTAGATAAATATATTATAAGTGTGGTGAGGAGGGTACTATAATACATGGACCCATACCTATACTTATATTGAAGCCCAAATCCAAATCCACATGTAAATACCATATTCATACGGTAATTTTTATAGATATTCATTAAATCCCATTCTAAATGTCATTCCTAACTCCATAAAATTTCAAAATTTTCATTTTGTTTGTATATTTGAAAAACAAATTAGTAGAGGGTATTATATTATAAATTTAAATAATTCTTTTAAATGAATGCCTGGACATTTCCGGCTCTTCTTGTCACTTATTTTCGAATCAATTTAGTTTAATTTACCTGTATTTTTAAAATTGTTTTCAAGTTATAGACACGTTTAATCTATATGTTACTTTCAGCTATATATATAATAATGGAAAATATTTTTCTTATGTTGTAAGAAAATAGTTACCACATGTTGTAGAAATAAAATTACAAGTGGGATCCACAAGTAAGAGGAGAAAAAAAAAATAGTGGTGAGATTCAACCCTTTTTTATATGCGTAAGAAAGTTGCTTATCTCATAAAATAAGATAAACATAACTCATATATAATATAGAATTTTAACTAACTAACCTCCCTTTTTCGACGGTCATCCAAGCCAAAATTAGAGGATTTACAAATATTCTTTCCAATTTAGCTCAAGTAATTGGCATATTTAAAATTTAAACTACCAAGACACATTAGTTCAAGTGGTAAAGAACTTCTACCCTTTAACCTAAAGCCTAGTAAAGAAGAAAGATGAATAGATATTTACCTACTTATGCATGTTCAACCGGTAACATTCATTTGGCATTCCAACTTGATCCGTGTATAGTGTATACAATCAACTGATAACACGCGTAATAATAGTAATATCATGGGTGAACATAAGGGTAAAGTTATAAACGCAGGAAGCTATATGAACTATAGTAGACTATAGATTTTAATTAGAAAACACGATAGTCAACTGCAGCCATCAAAATATTGCTTGCGAGCGTGTAAATTCACATTCTGTGGAATAAGGCATGCTATCAATGCTTCATTGCTAACGATGCTTGGAAAGGCAACAAAGCTGGTTGTTACAAAAAAGAACGAATTGAACAATTTTATCAGAAAGGAAAACTGACGATTTTTGTTAATTTCTTAAAAATTCTACTGTACATTAAAACCAAAAATAGAACTTACACTAGTTATTTTGGTGCTTAGCATAGAGATAAGCAAAAATGATGGAAAACAGGATGACCAGTATGAGAATCTGCAGGGATACTTCAAATCTGAGTATATTCTATAAATTTAGGATCGAGTTCAAAAAGAAAAAGCAAATACGTACCATGGTTGAGCCATATCTGTTCTCATTCCCCAGAATGTAAGATTTCCTGCTTATATCAATGAAAGATTAGTTAGACTGTAAATGGTAAAAACATAATTTTGAAGCTACTCAGATATGTGCATGCCTTTTACTTAGGAGACCAGATTCTCTGCAAGTTTTCTGTATATCTTCCAGCCTGCTCAAAGTTTTTGTTGCATTGGGATCATTTTTGTCAACCTACAATGGAAAATACTGAATCTTTTTAGTTGGAAAAAGCCAGCTTTGAAAAGAGGTCCTTGAAACTGAAAAACAGCTTTAGTTCTATGTCGCAATGTGCTACAGAAAATAAATGGGCCGCGACAATATCTGCATTTTTAAATTTTGGACACTCAAAAACCATTCGTTCCTTTAGGGTTATGGAACGAAGGATGCAGATTAAGAGTCATTTACTGTTTCGTGGGAAAATAATTAAACACACCCAACCAGGAAAATTTTGTGCGGGCGTGTGTCCATTAATGAACAAAGAGGTTGAAGACTATGGTATTGTTTTCTCCCTTGCAAAGCTTTAAGAAAACTGTGATCATTTGACAGGTTATTCAGGGTAGAATAGCCTACGCATGTAAAGAAATTAGGAGACTTTGCAATCCAACCAAAACTTATAAACTGCGCATAGGACTGTGACAGGCTTAAATGTTCCATCTAAGACTTGACACGTGTCTATTGCAGTAATGCTACTACAATGTTTCAAGAAAAACGGCTTTCAGATAAGAAAATTATATACAAGGGAGTCAAAGCATCAACTACTCTTCTCGTCCTATTTCGAACACATCTTTCCAAAACTTTATTTGGCATTTGCTGTTATAAAGCATACGTTAGGATCATTATCAGGCGCAAAACGCAACATGAGTAGCATCCACATTCTTGAGTTGCAAACCTAACCATACTTTGTTTAGGACCATGAATGCTTCATACCTTGGACTCCAATATAGAAGCAAAATCAAAGAAAGCACCGTAGACATCAGCCATGGTCTTTGTTCGGTCAACCACTTTAGCTGTTAGACCTATAAATCATAACCAAAATGAAGAGATGAAAGCTAGTTTAGCATTTTTTTTTAAAAGGGCAAATACAACCGATAGCAACATGTTGGTCTTTTAATTCCATGATAAAAACGAAATCTTGTCAAATGAAACGGGAGAAAAGGAAACGTACATATGCCTAAACTATTGAATATATATCTAGGTTATCGTATTATCAATTTTTTTGTTCTCACATGAATCTGCCAAAAACAAAGCCATTAACTCTCCAAAATAAGCTAATCCAAACACACACATAACTTCAATCTTGATTTACTTTTGATTTTGTACTTTTTAACTCGAGTGCATGATGAGTTATATGGCTTTGAGTGTTGATATTTGTCATTTTTACATTATTGATCCATGTTTTATTATGTAGAAGATGAATTCGTGCTGTTTTCGTGAATCTTAAAATTCACAATCAGGACATTGGCCTTCCGGTACTTGGCCAACATCCGTAAGTGGAGAATGGTGCAGAAGATGCGTGCTGATAGTTGCAAAGTATTTAGATATGTATATTTGAACAACCTAAATGCAATCAGATCTGAGAATCTAACAGAATATGTTCAACGACATTGAGCAGGCTCATTGTACAAAAATAATTTTTGACACAACTGCATATAGGAATTCCATAACAAACAGATTCCAAGGTATAGGTTTAAGAGGATTGATTCAGGATCAAGTGCAGCAATTCACTATTCGTAGGACCTCAATGTTTTATCCCTGTTTTATACCAATTGTATCAAAATTAAATTACAAGGAAATTAGTATCAAAATATTTGTTTTCTTACCTCGCCTCATTTTAACTACACCTCTGAAGACCTCAATGTTGTTGTAGCATAATGCAAGTGTTCCAATTGACATTATCTGTCACAGCATATGCCAAATAGGCATCGAAGTTACTAGGAAAAAACTATGTAAATAGCTATTGCTAAATACATAAAATGCATATCAACAGGAAATAATACAGAAATAGAAACTAATCAAAAAACGAACTGTGTAAATGTATGAAGAAGAATAAAATTAACATCAGATTAAACCTAGCAAATCCTCAACAAGAGTACTATAACAGTTTTAACTTAAATGGGAGGCCAAGACCTAAACAGATTTTGCTTCAAGAACATGAACATCTGCAGCTTGAAAGAAAAAATATTCTTATTCTGCATCATATCAACAAAATTAAATCAGCAAGCTTATATAGCTAGACTCGCCGACCCTCACATACATTGTATATGAAATTACAATTAAAAGCAAGTATTCCACTTCAAGGTTCATCACTACATTTTTGCAAAATGCATATAAAGATTTGTATGATTATTTTATCATCACACATCTGCTGTGAAATGTTAAACTTAAAAGAAACTGATAAAACATTGTAATTTTTTTCATATTTCGTTTGAACTTGAGTTGGAAACTGTTGTCGATTGAACTAATAAGCATGGCATGATATGCAGGTAGACCATATTTCCAGCATAAAACTTGCTGATAAATGATGTTACATCATTTCAAGACAAGAGTGACATGTTATATACCAGTTAAATCAGAAGTAATTAAGCAGAGAACAGCACCTGGGGAATAGCACAAAAGCGAAATATAGCCAGGTTTCGTAAAGCAGACATGTATTTTAGGCCATCTTCAGCATGCACCAGAGCATTAGTGACCATGTCATTCAGGCATTGCACTGCCTTAACGGAGTTCTGCTCATATTTCAAATCCTAGATTATAAATTTTTAATTGGATTAAGAATGAAGAAAATCATATCCATGTGCACGCTCAAAGACAGAAAAAGGTAAAATAGGTATTCATGTATGTATAACATAATAGTATGACAGGAAATTCATCTGAGAATCATCAAATAGGGGAGAAAAAGATGAAGGAATTATTTAGATTATAATAAATATAAATTCTTATAGAGCCGAACCTCAAGTCTATTAACATATTTACTCCAGATCTGCCGTGGCCAAAACATGCGTGACTTGGGGATCTCATTGATGTCTTCCAGATAATCTCGAATAACGCTTGATTTCTGATATCTCAAATGGTTAACTGAAATGTAAGTAAATAATTGTTAATATAATGTTTTTCTATATCTTACTATCATGATACCTGAAGAAACAGGCCCGTTGAATTGGAAAGGTAATCCGAAGCCAGATCTTCTAAACCATCTGCATGGAAAAGCTTTGATAAACCAAGCCCAACAAGTCCTGCTACATAGTGACAATATTCATTGTAGTCATCAACTGTTTCTACCTGCAAATTAGAGAAAAGTTCCTTGGCGTAAATCAAGATGATCTTTCTATGTTGAAAACATGGCAGAAATCCCAGTGCAGCATAGTGCTCTGCAAATAATAATTTAAGATAGATGATCTATCAGTTTTCTAGACCTTTATTTATTGCCCCTCTTCCTAAACTTTCATCTGCCTAAAAATAATATCAAATAGCTGCTTCGTTTAAACTTAATATATTTTCCCCGTCAGTCACACAGGTTAACCATATCAAATGTAAATAAGCCAACCCAATTATAAAAATGTCAAGAATACATGTAGAACAGAAGACATGTATGACAAACCTCTTTGCAAATAAATTTGGCCATTCCAGCACCCATTCTTTTAGTAATATCCTCAATTACTTCCTGATGGCTGCAAAAATAATTGACCAACATATAGTTGTTCATTATAGAATGCAGAGTCGTAACTCTAATAACGTATACACCTGATAAAAGCTAATAAAGGTAGTGAACGTACAGTCCATATTTGCACATCCCACAGACCCAGCTCACTTATTAAGTACTTCAGATTTGAACAATATGAACACACAGACAAATTAAAGAAGCAGACCCTCTTTAAGTATTAAAAAATAATTTTATACGTAATCCTACCAGAGACTAAGTACAATATAGCAAGGATTGGACAGATAACCAAATTTATAACATCAGGTGAAAAAATATAAAATAGTATCAACGAGCTAAGTTACACCAATTGTAGCAAATTAGTCTGATACCATATTTCAACCCAAAACCTCAAGGTATTGGATTTATAAATTCTCCCATTTATATCAACTTCACTTCATCCGTTATCAATTAATTTGGTACTCTAACACACTTGAATATCCAAACACAGAAACCTCTATGATAAAACATGGAACCCATTGACAGTTGTTATCAATCATGAACACTAAGCACCGTAGTTATCCATTAATCTGTACTGAGTAATTAATAAGTAATTACATTAAAATATGCATGACTGTGATAAACTCCACGCCAACAGCATTCCACAACATTTCTATATTAATACTTTGATATTCCAGATATGGCTGATCACAAAAACGAAATGAACCAAAACAAACTGGGAACAGCACGAAACCAATCCTAAAAGAACCGAATTGAGTGAAATGACTTTAAAAGCTGAACCGGTTCTTATTTATGCAAACGATTCGGTTAACTGGTTGCCAATCCAGTTCGGAGCATTGAATTTATATATTACTCCTTCAAAATTTCTTATTCTTGAAACCTGAAAGCAATGGATTTGAGAGTCAAATTAAGTCAATTTTCCCCTCCAAACAAATCATCCCGCGCCGCCGCCGCCGCCTCCTCCGATCGGATCTTCGCCCTGGCCATGGCTACGAAGTCGTCGTGAAGAGTTATCCCGAGATGCCAGATCGCTTCTTCTCATATTTTATAGAAAAGTATGAAAATGACATTACTAGTAAGTTCTGTACAAAGGGAGCTGATTTATATCAGCTGAGATACAAGGATCAGTGCTCTGCAAGAGCGCGGGAAAGAAAAAAATTGAACTCAACCGTAAGCTAATTTACAAAAGATAAATTAACTACTTCTTAACAGAACAACTGCATAATCTAACAACTTGACTACTTGCATGTGCATGCTTGCAGTAGTGATACGCTACAACAGAGAACGGCATGGTTCCGTAACCGAACCGATAAAGGTCTCCGTTCACAACCAAATATAACCCTTTAAAAAAAAAATATTTGGCTTCTAAATTATTAAAGAATGATAAAGTTACATGTGCCATCTTAAAACCAAATCATTTTGAGATTTGAGTGAAAAATATAAAATATTTTAATAAAATTCATAATATAAGATAAAAGTAAAAATTTTAAAATATAATTTTTTTCTTAAACCCAAAATAATATCATTTTTATGGTGAAGGAAATAATTTTTTTTAAAAAAATAATATGATTATTTAGGTATAAGTTATTCTTTTCTTTTTTTTATATCTACCTTAAAGTTAGCTGATATTTTAATCTAATAGTGTTGGAGAGTGGTAGGTAAAGTAAACATAAAAATAAGATTCGTTTTTTCTACCGTCAATGTAGATAACTTATTTACGTTGAGTCCAAAACGACGTCGTTTTGAGGCAAAAATCAAAATATTTTTGTAATTATAATTTATTTCAAGGTTATAACATTCTTTTTTATTATAATTTTTTAATTTTTCAACGTGTTGGGAGCGAATGTAGATAACTTATCTACATGCACTTTAGAAATATTTAAGCATAAGAAAAAAAGAATAATCTAGCCCGATTATTTTTATTACAACTCGGCTTGACATGTTTTCTTAATCATTAAGATAACCAAATCGAATCACAAAATATTTGATTTTTAAACTAATTTCAAAAAATACGATTATTTATGATTGAGTATTTGAATTCAAAATTTCTTTTGGTCGATATGATTTATTTTACACTCCTCTCATGCCTTTATGACAAAAGAAATTTGGAAATTAAACCTAAAATGCCGTTGCAAATTGGATCAAAGATGCAAATGAAAGATGGAAGGAAATGAACAGCAAGTGGAAAACCACATATACCCCGGAATATTAAAGTTCATTTTAGGTAAATATGCAAAAATAAGTACTGACTTCTTTCCGAGTTCCAGAAAAGCAGTTTGAACAAGATGAAACTGATCCAATAGAACTTTGTACTCCTTAGTGCCACCTTGTTAAATTGAAAATAATTAGTGTAGATCAGCACTAATAAAAGTTGAAGCATGGTACTGTAAAGCTATTTAAAGAATTATTTTAACAGAAAAGTTTAAGCTAAGTAATGTTTACATTATAATTTTATAATAATATCTCTAATATATCCCCTCGTGCAAGAGGGAAGAGTCCTTGAATTTGAAGTGTGAATAATGAACATATCTAATTTATTTTTATTTTTTATCCTGTACTAATTTTAACTTGCTTTTTAAATTTTATTAGAGAACGGAGATGGTGAGATTCAAATTTGTGGCCACTATATCATAAGCTCTTATATCATATAATGCAATTGATTCAACCCAACAACTTAAGTTGTAAGTGGTGTTCGGTTAATATAAAATTATTAATGCCAATATCACTTTAAACTTAAATTGTTGGATTGTATTAGTTATTTACACCACTATCTAGAAGATTGACGAAGGTTGTCTCTAATATCACTAAAAGCAATTGCTATGGGAAATAGTAAAATATGTAGTTTAAAATGAATAATGACAATGAAAGGATACAAACAGATTGGAAGAGGATTGTTAAAATTATATTGGTCCTATTTTAGTTGGAAATAAATTATTTTTTGTTTTGAAAGAAAAAGGAGCAAAAAAGAAAGCGCGCTTACATGAAAAGTGCCAATCACTATCATATATGTGACGATGAAAAGCTATTAGTATTGGCACCTTGACATCTGTAGCAACGCTAGTATCATCCTCTGTAAAAGAAAACAATAGTTACATATTGTACCCAAAAAAAAAAACAATAGTTACAACAATGTAGATAGATGATAAATTGATAATCTTTTTTTTTTTTTTTTTTTTTTTTGATAACAATTGATAATCTTTTAATTTCTGAAGAATGGAACAATCCTTCTAAAGACAAAATATGTACAATAGGTAAATAAAGACAAATTAGTTTCCGAAATCCTTAAAATAAAACATAAGGAAGGGAAAATTAAACATGGAGCATGTAACACATCTTAAGTAACTCAGAGTAACCAAAACTGTTTTGGACTGGTATATAGGTCTCTCACATGGCCCATTTCACATTATCAGCACAGGACAAAACGTTCACGTTTTCAGTGTTTTCTTCGTCTTTGTACAACTACCTCCCACTACCCACTATCCACTCCTGCGACGTGATTATCGCTATGATTGCCACATATACTCACACTCACCTGCATGCACTCTTCGATTCATACAATACTCAATCACACTCTCCCTTGGACCATACAACAAACACTCGATCCACATATCCGAACTAAAAAAAAAAAAAAATCTATAATTCATCGTCACAAGCTATGAAACAGAGACACTGAGGTAATGAACAAAGAAATAGCGTGGTGTTTTAATATTTAAAAACAAACCAACGGTATCAAGGGCTCGAAGGACCAGATAAAATACGCAAACCTGCAAAAAACAGAGGTCGATTCAGAAAAATATGAAAAGCAGCAGCAGATCGATTGAACGGTGTAGATGAAAGGAACTAACGGTGTTGCGAAGCTCGGGGCCAAGCTGCTGAACGACGAAGGAGAAACTGCGAGAAACCTTGCGAAGCATGGTATAGCAGAAGCCCCAGTGTGGCTCCGAAGAGATCTGTTTCTCGGCGTGCCTCGCAGCCATTTTCAGCTTCAGCAACGGGTAAAACTCATCTGGATGTCTCAGAATCGATCCCAAACTCCTCATCTTCTCACAAACATTAATCTTCCAAATTTAAAACTTAAATAACAAGATTATCAACCATGAACATCTTTACGTTGTGGCATAGGCCTTTTATGAGTTGAGTGAACCAGAGAAAGGAGCCACATGCTACATCTTATCATTTTTTGGACGTAACTCTTGTTTTGCGTGGTGTATTTTCCCTGTTGCATGCCTCCAATGTAACCAGGGAGTTTTCGAGAGACAGAGAGAAGGAGAAAGAGAGACGACATTCATGCCTTCTCATTCATCTTGTGTGAGTGTATAACCAACTGCATTCTGTTACCAACATTGGGCTTACAATCATCAATAATGGGCTGGATTACTAACATATCTAACCCACTAAGAAATTTGATAAGCGCTTGGGCATCTGTAAATTCCTCCTATCTCTGAGCCCAATAAAAGTTGCTGGTTTCAGTCAATTGGGCTGGAGTCATTGATTGGTCCGGTTACAATTCCCCATCTTCAAGACCATACACGTCCACATGGCTGGAAACAATTTGGGAAGTGGTACTGCGTGGCCCAATGCCTAGGCAGCGAGCGGAGGATGAGGGGGCAAGTAATGGGCGACATTGTGGAAGGATATGGCAAAAAAATTTAATTAATGCTTTTTAATAAAATAATTACACATTTATTAAAATTTTGGAAATAATTACGGATTTATTGCACAATGTGACGCCTTTCTTGAGCGTCACATGTAACGCCTCATTTGGGCGTCTCACCCTAAAGAGAAACGCCCGGACGTCTCTTATGAAATGTTGACACATGTCATTTTTTTTTTCAAAAAAAAAAAATTAATCATAAAACTTCTGAAGACCATAACTTTTGACTCGGGTATCCAATTCAGGTAATTCTTTTTTTGATTCCACATAACTTTTCGAGATCTACGCAATGACATCTCATTTGATATATTTTATTTCTCACAAACATAATTTATTTTAGGAGTGTGTGTAGTGTAGGGGGTGTTGTGTTCAATTCCTTGTAACCACAAAAAAAAAAAAAAGATATATAATGGATCTTTTTTATCACAAACAAAATATCGAGGAACATGGTCTTTACTCGAAACAATTTAGTTAAAAGACTCGAATAATAACTAAAATGAAAACGAGTAAAATTGAAAGCATGGTCTTTAGAATTTTTCATGGTCTTTACTTAAAAAGCAATTCATTCAGTTAAAAGAATGGTCTTTAGTTAAAAGCAATTAAGTTATAGGACTCAACAGATAATCTAAAATGAAAAGAAGGGTAACACACCCCAGATAATCCAAATCCCCATTTAAATGAATATTGCTAGCTATCAGTGCTTCGTTGCTATCGATGATTAGAAAGGCAACAAAGCCAGTTGTTACAAAATACAAAGGAGTGAACAATTTTATCAGAAAGGATAACCGATAATTTTTGTTAATTTCTTACAAATTCTACAGTACATTAAAACTAACAGTAGAACTTATACTAGTTACTTTGGTGGTTGGAAGAGAGGTAAGCAAAAATGACGGAAAACAGCATGACCAGTATGATAATCTGCAGGGATACTTCAAATCAGAGTATATTCTATAAATTTAGGATCGAATTCAAAAAGAAAAAGCAAATACGTACCATGGTTGAGCTATATCTGTTCTCATTCCCCATATTAAAAGATTTCCTGCTTAAATCAATGAAAGGTTAGTTAGACTGTCAATGGTAAAAACAATTTTGAAGCTACTCAGATACGTGCATGCCTTTTACTTAGGAGACCAGATTCTCTGCATGTTTTCTGTATAGCTTCCAGCCTGCTCAAAGTTTTTGTTGCATTGGGATCATTTTTGTCAACCTACAATGGAAAATACTGAATCTTTTTAGTTGGAAAAAGCCAGCTTTGAAAAGATGTCCTTGAAACTGAAAAACAGCTTTAATTCTATGTTGGAATGTGCTACAGAAAAAAATTGGCAGCAATAGTATCTGCATTTTAAAATTTTGGATACTCAACAACCAATCTTTCCTTCAGGGTTATGGAATGAAGGATGCAGATTAAGAGTTATTTACTGTTTTAGTGGGAAAATGATTAAACACACCCAACCAGGAAAATTTTGTGCGCGTCCTTAACTGTCGTGGATTTAGAGCTAAGTCCTTATCCCTCAAGGGATATAGTATGTCAATAGGAAGGTGCTCAAAGAAGTAGTGGTATTGACCAAAGCACAAGGAGAGTCACCACAAGTGCTATTGCAGAGAGGGCTGCGAAGAGGGAGGTGTATAGGCTACGGTAGCTCAAAAATTCAGCAGAGTAACAATTCATGAAAGTAATAGAGATCAAGTGCTTCCTCTGTTGGAGAGGAGGGGTTCTAATGATGAGAGAGAGAGGAAAAGATGAACCAAACCATTAGCCTTTGCCTCCACTATTGCAGTGCAGCATTGCCTCACCATCATAGGTGTACGATGAGCTGTGCAGGGAGAGGGAAATCTCCTGTGGTGAGGTTCAAATGCTCACTCAAAGGGTGTCATCTAGTGGATCTTTGAATACTTGGCCCATCGTGTTGGGCCGTGTAGGGTGGCCAAAACATGTCCATTAATGAACAGAGTCAGAAGACTCAAGGTATTGTTTTCTCCCTTGCAAGGCTTTAAGACAACTATGATCCTTTGACAGGTTATTTAGGATAGTATAAACCACGCATGCAAAGAAATTAGGAGACTATGTAATCCAACCAAGACTTAATGTTACGAGTCCTACATCGGTTGCCCAAACAACCAATGTGGGGTTTATAAGGCCTTGGGCACTCTCAACCTTTGAGCTAGCTTTTGAGGTAGTGGCCTCAAATTCCTTAACAATTGATGCTTTTATGGAGAGTTGAGGGCACGAAAAAGGATACCTATAGGCTGGATTAACGTGTCATATCTCCCAAAGGGGTGTTGTACTGAATACTGATAAATGAGTAAAGCCGCCAAAAGGAAAAGGGCTACCACTAGGTCAGTGTCGATAGACTGAAAGCCGCCGTGGACGTCGGCCCTTAAAGGGAATGGCAATTTTACGAGTCCCACATCAGTTGCTCATACAACCAATATGGGGTTTATAAAGCCTTGGGCACTCCCATCCTTTGAGCTAGCTTTTGGAGTGGTGACCTCAAGGTCCGCAACAATTGATGCTTTCATTGAGAGTTGAGTCCACGGAAAGAGCTACTTATAGACTGGATTAACGTGTCATACCTCCCAAAGAGGTGTTGTACTGAATACTGATAAATAAATGAAGCCGCCAAAAGGGAATGGGCTACCACCGGGTCAGTGTCAATAGAGTGAAAGTCCTCATGGACGACGGCCCTTAAAAGGAATAGCAATGTTATGTGTCCCACATTGGTTGCCCATATAACCAATGTAGAGTTTATAAGGCCTTGGGCGCTCTCATCATTTGAGCTAGCTTTTGGGATGATGACCTCAAGGTCCGTAACACTTAATTGTTCAATAAACGACTTGGCACATATCTATTGCAGTATTGCTACTACAATGTTTCAAGAAAAATAGCTTGAAAATTCATATACAAGGGAGTCTAAGCATCAACAACTTTGCTCATCCCATTTACAACACATTTTTCCAAAAATTATTTTGGCATTATTAATGTATTTTTCTGTTATAAAGCATATAGTGGGGTCAGTATCAGGCGCAAAAATGCAACATGAGTAGCTTCCACGTTCTTGAGTTTCAAACCTAATCATACTTTGTTTAGGACCATGAATGCTTCATACCTTGGACTCCAACATAGAAGCAAAATCAAAGAAAGCACCATAGACATCAGCCATAGACTTTGTTCGGTCAATCACTTTGGCAGTTAGACCTATAAAATCATAACCAAAATGAAGAGATTACAACTAGTTTAGCATTTAAAAAAAAAAAAAAACTCACAACAAAAAAAAGGACGAATGTTGGTCCTTATTTTTAATTCCCCGATAAAACAAAATCTTGTCAAATGAAAAAGGAGAAAAGGAAACAGTATAAATGCCTAAACTATTGAATATCCAGGTTATAGTATTATCAGTTCGCTTCAAAGAGTGGGGGAGATGGGAAGGGCTGAAAATTTGAAAAATACCTTATTACGAATAAAACCACCAGTTCACCCCCTATTTCGACACACACACACACATTGATGCTACACAGCCCCTTTGAAACCTTAAACTATCGTCTTCATCTTTTACTTTAATGACTGCGGTCTCCTACCTGGTAAGCATGTGCATGTTTGTTTTAGCTTATTTTTGGGGAAGTAATATTTTATTGGCTAAAATATAAATTACCCCCTTGAACTTTGACCATGTTTCAAATTACCCTCTTGTACTTTTAATTATTTCAATTAACCCCCTGTACTTTATAATTTTTTCAAATCAACAATTCTGTTAAAAATTTTACAAACACTGTTAAACTTCCCACGTGCCCTAAGTCCCAAATGTCAAAATCCTCCTCAATTGCAATATTGGGGGTTGATGGCTTCTCAGCTCTGCCAAGATACTGCCTCACCCTTTGAGGTGTAATTTTTGTTGGAGCCATAGTTATCAATCTTATTCGAGATCTGGTTGGAAACAAGTGGGCTAGATTTATTCCTGTTTCTATGGCCATGGCTATACCCTTTTATATTGGAAGTTACTTTGCCATTGATATGTGTCTTGGAAGCTTGATCTTATTTATCTGGCGGAAGCTTGACAAGGCTAATGCTAATACATTTGCATCAGCTGTGGCTTCTGCTTTGATATGTGGGGATGGAATCTAGACACTACCTAGCTCATTTCTGGCCCTGGCAGGAGTGAAGCCACCTATCTGCATGAAAATTTTGTCCAGAGCAGCAAATGCAATGGTTGATGCATTCTTGGAATCTTGACGTCGCCTGATTCATTCTGCATATTCTCTTTACCAAAGTAAAATTCATTGTGTTAAGAGATTTATCTACATTTGCTGGCATATGAGGAGGTTTCAAGAGATATGAGACTTAACAGTGTTTGTAAAATTTTTAACAGAATTGTTAATTTGAAACAATTATAAAGTATAGGGGGTTAATTGAAACAATTAAAAGTACAAGGAGGTAATTTGAAGCATGGTCAAAGTTCAAGGGGGTAACTTATATTTTAGCCTATTTTATTCTAAGTTCTCTCACAAATCTGCCAAAAAAAAAAAAATTATCTGCCCAAAATAAGCTAATTCAAACAAGCACATTACTTGAACCTTGATTTACTTATGATTTTGGACTTTTAACTCTTGAGAGCATGATGAGTTATTTGGCTTTGAGTGCTGATATTCGTCACTTTCTACATTATTGATTCAAGTTTTATTATGTTGAAGATTAATTTGTGCTTTTTTCATGAATCTTAGAATTCACAATCTGCAAATTGACCTTCTGGTACTTAACCAGCATCCATAAGTAGAGATGCTGCAGGAGATGTGTATTAATAGTTGCAAGTATTTAGATTTGAATATTCAACCTAGATGCAATTAGACAAGATCGATTCAGCATAAAGTGCAGCAATTCACTATTCATAGCACTTTACCTACCTTTTTTCCCCTGCTTTACACCAATTGTAGCTTCATGTTGAGAGTGCCTCAAAATTAAATTACAAGGAAATTAGTATAAAAATATATCTGTTATCTTACCTCGCCTCATTTTAACTACACCTCTGAAGATCTCAATGTTGTTGTAGCATAATGCAAGTGTTCCAATTGCCATTATCTGTCACAGCATATATCAAACAAGCATTGAAGTTGCTAGGAAAAAAGTATGAAAATAGCTATAACTATAAACAATATCATCAAACATAAAATGCATATCAACAGGAAATAATACAAAACTAGAAACTAACCAAAAAAGGAACTGTCTAAATGTATCAAGAATAATAAGAACATCAGATTAAACCTAGCAAATCCTCAACAAAAGTACTATAATTGTTTGAACTTAAATGGGAGGCCAACACCTAAGACCATACAGCTTCTGCTTCAAGAACATGAACATCTGCAGCTTGAAAGGATTTTTTTTCTTATTCTGCATAATATTATCTAAATTAAATCAATGCTGACTCTCAATCGAGAAAATTAATCAGCCATAGGAAGAACATCTATCACATGTATTGTATATGAAATTACAATCAAAATCAAGTATTCTGCTTCAAGGTTCAGTACTACATTGTTGCAATAACACTTAATGCATATAAAGATTTGTATGGTAGTTTTATTTCACAAATTTTTAGTGCAGTGTTAAACTTAAAAGGAACTGATAGAACATTGTAATTTTTTTCATATTTCATTTGAACTTGAGTAAGAAGCTGTTATTGATTGAACTATATTAAACATGGCACGATAGACAATATTTCAAGCATTAAACTTGCTGATAAATAATCTTATACGGTTATACCATTGCAAGACAAGAGTGACATAAGTTACATAGCAGTTAAATCAGAAGTGATTAAGCAAAAGAACCGCACCTGGGGAATAGCACAAAAGCGAAATATAGCCAGGTCTCGTAAAGCAGACATGTATTTTAAGCAATCTTCAGCATGCATCAAAGCATTAGTGACCATGTCATTTAAGCATTGCACTGCCTTAACAGAGTTCTGCTCACATTTCAAATCCTGGATTATAAAATTCAAATAGGTGTAAGAAAGAAGAAAATCATACATGTACGCACTCAGACAGAAAAAAGTTAAAAAGGTATTCATGTATGTATAACATAATAGTATGACAGGAAAGATGTTTCACTATCATATCATCAAGTGATAAGAAATTCATCTGAGAATCATGAAATGGGAGAGAAAAAGATAAAAGAATGATTTAGATTAGAAAAAGTATAAATTCTTATAGAAACAAACCTCAAGTTTATTAACATATTTACTCCAGATCTGTCGTGGCCAAAACATGCGAGACTTGGGGATCTCATTGATGTCTTCCAGATAATCTCGAATAATGTTTGTTTTCTGCAACCTCAAAAGGTTAACTGAAATGCAAGTAAATAATTGTGAACATATTGTTTTTCTATATCTAACTATCATGATACCTGAAGAAACAAGCCCATTGAATTGGAAAGGTAATCCGAAGCCAGATCTTCTGAACCAGAGGCATGGAAAAGCTTTGATAAACCTAGCCCAACAAGTCCTGCTACATAGTGACAATATTCATCGTAGTCATCAACTGTTTCTACCTGCAAATTATAGAAAAGTCTCCTGGTGTAAATCAAGATGATCTTTCTATGTTGAAAACATGGCAGGAAAACATGTGCAGCATAGTGCTCTGCAAATAAGAATTTAAGGTAGATGCTCTGATAAGAGTGTAACATCAAATTATTAAGAAAAATCTTGCACTGAAGAAACACTACTTGACTACCAACTTTCTAGACCTTCATTCCATTGCCCCTCTCCCTAAACTTTCATCTGCCTAAAAACAAAATCTTGATAACATAGTTTGAAGCACCAAAAATCATTAAAAATTAGCAGCAAAAACCAGATACCACGTAGCTTAAAGGAATAACAAACTTTATATATTGCCCCATTAATCACACAGGTTAACCATATTAACTGTAACTAAACTAACACAATTATGAAAATGTCAAGAATATATGCAGAACAGAAGACACGTATGACAAACCTCTTTGCAAATAAATTTGGCCATTCCAGCACCCATTCTTTTCGTAATATCCTCAATTGCTTCCTGATAGCTGCAAAAATAATTGACAAACATGTAGTTGTTCATAGTAGAATGCACAGTCATTACTCTGATCACATATACACCTAAGAGAAGCTAATAAAGGCAGTTAATTTATAGTACATATAGCACATATCACAGACCCAGCTCACTTATTAAATACTTTTGATTTGAACAATATGCAGACACAGACAAATTAAAGAAGCAGACCCTCTTTCAGTCTTAAAAAACATTTCATACGCAATCCTACTAGAGATCAAGTAGAGTATAGCAAGGAATAGACAGATAACCAAATTTGTAACAGCTGGTGAAAAAATATAAAATACAGAAACATCTGTAATATAACATGGAAACAATTGAAAGTTCTTATCAATCATGAACACAAAGCACCATAGTTATCCATCAATCTGTACTCAATAATCGATAAGTAATTGCATCAAAATATGCATGACTTTTATGAACTCCATACTAAGTCACTAACTGCATTCCACAACAGTTCTGTATTCATATTTTGATATTCCAGACAGAAAAAAGAAAACAAATTGAATCTCAAAAATGCGATTCGTAAGATGATTTCCAAATGAAATCAGTATCATGCCTTAATGATAAGCAGTAAACACGCCACTTCACCCAGGGTAATAGACAATAATAGGCAGAAAATTGGAAATAAAACCCAAAGTGCTGCGGCTGATTGGATAAAAAATGGAAATAAACATGTAAGGAACCTTGGGATACACCACTCCAAAAGCTAGCTCAAAGGGTGGGAGTGCCCAAGGCCTTATAAACTCCACATTAGTTGCACATACAACCAGTGTGAGACTATATATCTCAACATACCATGTAAAGAACCTTGGGATACACCACCCCAAAAGCTAGCTCAAAGGGTGGGAGTGCGCAAGGCCTTATAAACTCCATATTAGTTGCACATACAACCAATGTTGGACTATATATCTCAACATGCCCCCTCACACGAAAACCTTTTGGGCTTGAAGCGTGGACAATGCAACAGGCTCAGCCTACCTGTGCTAAGAAACGCCACAAGAGAAAGTGGGGGACGGCGAGGCTCTGATACCATGTTAAGAACCTTGAGGTCACCATCCCAAAAGCTAGCTCTAAGGGTGAGAGTGCCCAAGGCCTTATAAACCTCACATTAGTTGCCCATACAACCAATGTGGGACTATATTTCTCAACAAAACAGCAACTGGGAAACAACATATATACCATGGAATCTTAAATTTCATTTTAGGTAAATATGCAAAGATAAGTACTGACTTCTTTCCAAGTTCCGCAAAAGCAGTTGAAACATGATGAAACTGGTCCATTAGAACTTTGTACTCCTTAGTGCCACCTTGTTACATTAAAAACAATTAGAGCAGAGATCAGCATCAATAAATTTGAGGCAGCGGTACCAAAAAACCATTTTCCAGAAAATTGATGAAGGTTGTCTTTAATATCACTAAAAGCAATTGCTATGGGAAGTAATAAAATATGTATTTTAAAATCCAATTCAAATTCTGAAAAACGAGTCAGATATGGTTAAAGTGAATGATTACAATTGAAGGATACAACAGGTTGGAAGAGGGTTGTTAAAATTATATTGGGTCCTATCTCACTTGGCAAGAAATTATTTTTTCTTTCTAAAGAAAAAGGAGCAAAAAGAAAAGCGCACTTACATGAAAAGTGCCAATCACGATCATATATGTGACGATGAAAAGCTATTAGTATTGGCACCTTGACATCTGTAGCTATGCTAGTATCATCCTCTGTCAAATGAATAAAAATGTTACGACAACATAGATAGTCTCTTGATTTCTGAAGAATGGAACAATCCTTCTAAAGAATGGTTTGAAGTTCAAATATACATCATTCAAAGGCAATAGCAGCAATATGAACAGTAGGTAAATAAAGACTTAGAATAGTTTCCGTACAGTATGACATTAGAAGGCATACATCATTTGCTTATAGTTGCCAAATTAATAATCTGAGATAAAACAATCAATGTATTGAATAGCCCGAATTTTCGAAAGCGTATGGTAACAATATTAATCCCTCCATAACATCCAATACTTCAAAAAATAGATAAATGAATAAAGAAGGAAAAATTAAACATGAGTAACACAGTAATTAAAACCAATATCTATGATTCATCATCATAAGCTATTAAACAAATACACAAGGCAATGAACAAAGAGTAGCGTGATGATTTAAGATATGAAAACAAACCAACGGTATCGAGTGCTCGAAGAACCAAATAAAATACGCAAACCTGCAAAAACCAGAGGTCGATTCAGAAAAACATGAAAAGGAGAAGCAGATCGATTGAACGGTGTTGATGAAAGGGAAAATGCAAGTAACTGACGGCGTTGCGAAGCTCGGGACCAAGCTGCTGAATGACGAGGGCGAAACTGCGAGAAACCTTGAGAAGCATGGTGTAACAGAAGCCCCAGTGTGGCTCCGGAGGGATCTGTTTCTCGGCGTTCCTCGCCGCCATTTTCAGCTTCAGCAACGGGTAAAAGTCATCAGGATGTTTCAGAATCGCTCCCAAACTTCCCATCTTCTTCACAAACAATCTTCCAAAATCAAACTTCAATAACAAGATTTCATGTTTATTTGAACTTTTGTAATTATATAATGGATCTTCGCCAGCGACAATGATGGCTTCTTCCCCTGTGCCTCGTGAATATTATAATTTTGGAAATTGAATATATTTGAGGTTGAAAAATACTCTACTATTTCGCGTCGTGTTTTGTACGGTCACGGTGTGTAAGATTCGCTCCAGTGGTTACACTATTTTTCTAAACTGCACGTTTAGTTTAGTGGATCTAAATTTTATGATATGCTACTTTAGGAAGAATTTAACACCGGGTAATCCTTACATAAATGTTCCAGTAACTTTCTAAAAGGTATACGGGCAGGATATCACCAAAAAAATATAGCATTCTTATACCTAGTTTAATCACTATTAATTTTTGTCAATTTAATTATTATAATTTATTAAAAATTAATAATAAATTAATAAATATAATTTATTAATTAATTATTAATTTTTAATAAATTATAACAATTAAATTGACAGAAATCAACGATAATTAAATTAATTATGAAAGTGGTAAACTTTTTTCGATGACAAGTGAATTCGTTCTATAAATATAAAAAAATAAATAAAAAACTAACTAGTATTACTAGTTTTACAAAACAAAATAAAAATCATATGTATTATTTTTCAAGAGACAGCAAACTAAGACGTTAAGTCATCCTCAAGAAAATAAATTCTAAAGGTAAGGGTGAATATTTAAGTTAAATTTATTAAGTCAATCATATTATTGATTAATGAATATTTAATTATTATAATTTTCATAATTAAAAATGAAAATTAATAATGTGATTTGTACTTTTTTATCTAAATATCATTTCAAGAATTTAATTGGTATGAATGGTAATATTTACTAACACTTTGATATATTATTTTTCATTGTCATTTCATTTTTTTAATAGTCGAAATGAAAAAAATAAATATATTAAATATTAATATAAACTTTCATTGCTAAATTACATGAATCAGAATGAAAAATATATATTTTCTTGTGAATAGAATGGGATGGCCCACGCCAGCATCTTATGTGTAATATTCTGCGATCTGCTATTTTGTCACTTTTTCTGCATTTCTTTGGAACCGATTTGTTTATCCAGGCCACGCGGGACGCGAGGCGCATGCTGACAGCGTGACTCTATTATTTTTACATGCCATAATCTTCAATATTTTTTTTGCTGGAATAGAAAAAATTGTGTCAAAATGGTTTTTTGTCTTATTATCTATAAGTTTGGAAAAATTTATAAGTATCTTTATTGATTTCTATCGATAATTTTTGCTATTATTATTCTTGTGCATAGTTTTTTGTATGTTGTTGGTATTTTTTTTGTTTTACTAATGATAACTCTTTTTTATGTTTCTGAACCAATATTTTCATAAAAAAATCTTAGCCCCAATTTCGTTAATATTAAATAATATCCACAATTAATTATAAAGTTGATTTCAAATAAATAATTTAAAAATATTATTAATAATCAATAATAATAAAAAATAGTTTTAATATTTTATATAAATAACGCATCTTAAAATTCAAAATTATATTCTGTAATTGATTCAAGATTTTTAGTTGAATAATTTTGTTGTATTATAGATTAAAATGTAAATTCATGTTATAAAAATTATATGTATAATCATTTTAAAATAATTTGAATTTCAATTAAAATAAGATAAATTGAGAATAATATGTTATTTTAAGAAAAATAGAATAAATATTTTATCATTACGAAAAAATTATATTTATAATTTGATATAAAAAATACCTTTTTCATCTTTGATTTATCAAAAAATTTATTTATTCATCATTATTTAAGCTGGACATTGTGCAAATTTAGTAAAGATTAATTATCTGGTATAACACTTATATGCTTTTTTTCCTTAAAGTAAAATATTTAAATTTTAAGATAAAAATTTGTTAATTGGTTTTTTCCATTAATTTTTTTTTTCTAAAATATTATTTTAATTTTTTTATTCTTTATTCTTTCTTATTTTATAATTTAGACACAAAAATATTGTTTATCCTTTAACAAGTGATATTTTAAATAATTTCATGCTTGTTTTGATAATTTATTACATATGAATAGCTTTTTATATAATTTAAGTAAAATATATTATCTTAAAAATGTTTTTCAATTAATATTCAGACAAATAACTAATTTTATCATAATCAGTTTTAAATAAAATCAATTATGTACATATACATAATATTTACTAATTTTTTAACATTTAATTTAATAATGCTTTATTTAGTGAATGAAACTGACAAATATCAAGCCTTAGCGGATCCAGGAATTTTATTGAGATGGAGCAAAAAATAAAAAATATCTCTTCGTAAATAAAAGTACTTCAAATACAATACAGACTTAATATGCAAAAAAATTAAAAGAAATTCATTACAGAAATTAAGATCACTTCACTTGATTCTTACTCTACGTGTTTTCATATTGTTAAACTCATCTACAATAAAAATAGATCCAGAAAATATTTAAATAAATTATAGATAAATAAATAAATTAAAAAAATGTATGTGGAAATACATTGTACCTAAATGATACTTGGACAAACTGTTAGAATCCAGTAAAATTATTTAAATATAATTATCAAGATATATTGTAGAACAACACTCTCCAGCAAGCTAACCAACGATTAAAAAGTAAACAGATCTCATAGTTCAAAAAATAAGAAAGTCCAGTAATTAATTGTCAAATCTCAGTCCTTATTGATAAATTAGTACTAGAGTAGGTATATGTGATTATCATTACTAGAGTAGTTGAGACTTTAGAGCTTTTTATGAAATTGACAAAATATCAAGATCTTTTTCACATCAAGGGATATTGGTAGCTCTTAGAGGCACTGATTGCCTGATAAATTTATGTGCGATTTTGCAATATAAGATTTTTTTAATTTGTTTTATTAAATATATGCTATCTCAAAACATTAAAAATATAGCAAAAAATAATAATGATAATTTTAATAATTAAAGAGATACATTTTATTTGTATATAATTTTCTTGTTTATAAAATATCAACAAATCTCATTAGGTCTCCTATAGAATTTTTACAAAATTATAATTTTAGATATAAATCTTTGTTTTGAGATGGCCCCTAATAATTATTATGGTTGTATATAGATAAGGTCAATCATATTAGTTCTTTAAAGATAACAAAAAAAACTTATGATAGTTCAGTTGGCACATGAGATGATGAGAGCTGAGCAGGTGGGGCTGAAAGTAAGGGTGCTAAACGAATAGGGGCCTTTGACTCGGCTTGTGAAGGCCTGAGCTTACATGTCTAAAATTGGTTGTTGGAACCAGACTTGAACTTGTATAAAAGCTCGTTTAATAAAAAGGTCTCAGGCTCCAATTGAAAAGTTTGGTCTTAGAGCCTCTCAGGCTAGCCTAGTATATTAATTTTTATTTTTATTTTATATTTTTTATATTACTTGTAATAGCCCTCTCTTTCTCTCTCCTTAATCCATTTCGCCTCATTTTATTGGTTAAACAGACTTTTTGAATGATTTTGTTCTATATTATGCTTTTTTGATATACATTGAATTTATGGATATTTATGAAATTACTAGTATTGTTGATTGTATCTTTTGTTTGGATAAATTTTTGTTGCCTTATTTTTTTTTAAACAACCTAAACCAGGCTTTCATTTTTTGTAAATAAGCTAGGCCACATGCCGATAGTTATATTCATAACAGGTAACAGGCCTGGTCAGGCTGACACATTTAAACACAAGCTTAGACTCTTAAGATCAAAGCTCGACTCGGCTCGGCCTATTAACACCTCTAGGTGAAAGCATGTGTTTGATCCTCCCCAGTACCATTTTTTAGAGAAATTTGGGCCACTCGAGCTCGCCATATATCTCCGCCTTTGAACTCGAGCATCCGTGCCACGAGCTTTCCTAAGGGTGTGCATAACAACCTTCCCGGAATCAATTTTTTTTTTAATTTCTGTTCTCGGAAACAAAAATGAATAGAAAACTCGTTTAGTAAAATCGATTTATTTTTTTGTTCCCGGGATGATCCGGTTTAATTTTTGTGCTGGGAAACAAAAAAAAGAATTCGAAAATTTCAGCTTTATTGTTCACACGCACAACAAAATGAGAAACACTTATCTCTCTCAATCACTCTCCACCTCTACCATCATCACCACCACCACCATCATCCCGACACAACCACCGCCACCACCGTACCACTAGTGTCGCACCCCCCACCACCACGATGCCACCGCCACCATCACCACCTCCTCCACCCATCACTACCACCATGCCAACGTCACCTCCGCCACCACTATCACTGTTACTGTCACCACCGTCATCATTGCAACCACTGTCGCCACCGCCATCACCAAGCCACTGCCACCATCATCCCCACCACTACCACCACCACAACGCCACCGCTACAATCACCACTACCATTGCTGCAGCCACTACCGTCACCACCATCATCGCCATCTACCACCACCTTCGTAGCCACTGCCATCACCACCACCACCACTATGATGCCATCACAACCACCACCACCATGCCACCTGTAACACCCCCAAATTTTTAATAATTTATAATAACATGAAATTTATAAAATCATAAATAACTGTGAAATTTAAATTAACCAAATTTGGAAAATGTTACCACCGCACTTGTACTATGCACAAGTGCAAGGCTAAATTTATTACATTAAAACAAAACCAAAGACTAAATTTTAACTAAAGGAAATATGTCTTATGCATTTATTAAATCTCATAACATTTCTAAACTTAGGAACTAGCTAGAAATATCTGAGTCGTTATCCTCACTGCCCACAGCTAGCCCCATCCGTTGCAACTTGTTTCACTGAAAATCTGCTCCACCGAAGAATCATTGCAGGCAAACAAACACAAACAGTCAGCAAAGCTGGTAATCCCAATCCAATATACAAAAAAAATGAAAATATAACTCATAATAATCAAATCAAGTAATATAACTCAAAAATTCAAATCAAGTATCAACTCGATATTAATTATATTAATCTTAATTTAGTCTATTTAGTGGGAAGAGAACCATGGTAGACCCGAGAAATCTTGTTGTCAGCCACGTATAATCAAAATTGGCCATCATCAAAATATCAAATCCTAATGTGCACACCTCTTCCCAAAGTTGCTACTAGTATCCCGGGAAACCATGTTGTCAGATACCACTTTGAGAAGAACGGAAAATATCATTGTCACATCATGTAATATTGAAGGCATAAAGCCCAAAGGTTGTGTTCATCACTTTCAGGAGGTACCATCCCAAAAGCTATCTTTCCACTATTATTTATTACATTCACACAATCAATAAAATTCAATCTTGCCACAACCCTTATAATTGGAAAATTTTCTCAAATATTTTTCATAATTTCCACATCAATTTAATCAAGAGTATAATTTCCAAATTCTATTTTTCAAGAATATCATTGTTTCCAAATCCATCATAATTTTCAAATTCATTATCCAAGTATATCATAATTTTCATATTCAATATCTACCGAAGTAAAACCCAAATCCAATCATTATATCATAATTTTCCAAATCATAATTCAAATATTCACATCTATTAGAGTAAAGCCAAAGTCCAATAATTAATCCAATTAATTTTTAAAGGTTAAAATAATTTATTTTAAATACTCAAAGAGTTACATATAATATATGAAAACGTCCTAAAATTTCCCAAGGATTAATATTACATTTAACAAATTTAATATAAAATTTATCCTATGATCACCAAGAGGATTACACATACCAAATTTCATCTAAAACTAATTTAAGATGCCCTAAGGATCAGGATTACATTAGACAAGATTTCTGATAAAAGTTAATCTATTATTTCTAAAGCATTAGGGTTATACCCAACAAATTCCATATAAAACTAACCTAAAAGCACCTAGGGATCAGGATTACCTGGTCTCCGTGTTTGATGGCTTATAGTAGAAAAAGCAATTAGAGAAGAGAAGCACGGTCGGTAGCCAGAATAATAATAACAAAATAAAAATTTGAAATAAGAAGAAAGAGAAGAATAAGAGAATATGTGGAAATGTTGAGGATTGAAAGTGATTTGATTTTGTTAGGTTAAGCCCCTATTTATAGCTGAAGTTTTGTAACTAAGATGTTAATTATGGTAATATCAAAAGTTATCATACTTATTTCAATTATTGAAACTGCAAGTAATATCAATGGTCATCATAATTATGTTAGTTATCCTTAATATATTGTAATGGTAATATTTAAATGAAAATAACTGTTCATATTACCAATTAAATGATAACAACTAACATTCAATGTCAACCAAATATATCAATGTTTATAACACCACTTAATGCTAAACCCAACATGTCTGACATGATATAATTATACACATAAGGGTACACAATATTATTATTATTATTATTGTTATTATTATTTTTCTTGAGTTATCACACCACCGTTACCATTGTCGCCGCCACCAATAACACCAACCACCATCCTCACCGCATCGCCGCCGCCGCGACCATTACTACCGCCATCGCCACAACCACTGTTGTCACCTCCACCACCACCATCTCCACCACTACCGCCATCGCTGCAGCCACTGCCATTACAACCACCACCACAACTATCATCACTACGTCATTGCTACCACCACTACCGTATCGCCGCCGCCACCACCCCCACCACCACAATCACACCATATGGAAAGGAAAGTGATAATCCAAATTTTTTTATATTTAATATGAATTATTTTGTACTATATTATTTGTTGTGTTTACTATTCCCATTCTCGAAATAAAAATAGAACATGTTATCAAACATATTTTTTTTTAATTAGAAACTGTTCCAAGACACAGAAATAAAAAAGAATTATTTCTTTTCAAAAATAGTATTAACGAATAAAATGATTGTCATGCACACCCTAAGAGTTCATGTATGCGCAATAAACTTATTGATACCAATAAATATATATAATAAAAAGGGAAATACATATATGTAGGATATAAGGTTTTTTTCTTATTGACCCATTAAAATTTAAAAGGTGTGCTATCATTTTTCTTTTTAAAATTCTGATGGTCCCACTGCTTTGATGTTTAAAGGAGAGACCTAAAGTACTAATAAAAAAAGTTTATAAAAATGGAGGGAATCGATAATTTTTATTGAATATTACAAATAGTATCTCATTTAATTTTTCTAATTCTTAAATGATCAATACAGTAGCTAAAGCAACACTCCCATATATAATAACCAATATTTTGTCCTATATATTTTTTGAATTATGAATATTTAATTAGGTTCTGTATTGCATACCAAAATAAAAATAAAAATTAGGGTTCAGTATTTTTAAAAGTTTAAATAAACAGAGCAATGTTAAATCCATACCCTTTTTAATAATTTTATTTGAAAATAACTCTAATCAATATAATGGAAACAATATTCGTTCTATCAATATGCAAAATAAAAAACATCAAATTTCAAAATAATTAATTAAGTAGTCAATAAAAAAATAGACAAAATATCAAATTGATGCAACTCAAGATTCTTCCAAGTTTTCATGAACATGTAAAATGTTTCCTTTTTCAGCCATACAAATACAAACCACTCGATTTCTTCGTCTTTCTATCCTCAATCCACAATTTTAGTGGAAGGAGGATAGTTTGGCTTCTTCCCCTTCCAGGCAACAAAAATGGCACACAAACTCTCACTACATGTCAAAAACCCTAACCTCACATCACCTTTTCCCTCTCCAGTAAGTTCAAACCATCACTTACCTCTTCTTTCCCTTGCACCTTCCCTTCTCAACAAATCTACTCTTCCTTCAAACCTATGCATCGCAGCTTCGAGACATTGTCGCATTGGATTCGTAACCACTCGCGCAGTTCAAGAGCACGAGCTCACTGATGAATCCGAAGAGGACAAAGACCAAACCAGCGAGGGTTCGGAAGAGGACAAAGATGAAGAAACGGTGAGAAATGACGAGAATAGGGAACTAGCAGAGCAAAGTATATGGATTCAGATGAAGGAAATTGTCTTGTTTACAGGGCCAGCAGCAGGGCTTTGGTTATGTGGACCACTGATGAGTCTCATCGATACTGCAGTTGTTGGTCAAGGAAGTTCAATTGAGCTTGCTGCTTTAGGTATCGTAATCTCAAAGATACGACACGAGGCACATTTTTATCTTAGTTATATTATTGTCGTTTTAAAAAAGTGAGCAATATAATATATGATGCATATGATTTTTCATTTCCCTTGAGCAGGTCCTGCTACGGTTGTTTGTGATTACCTGAGTTACTCGTTCATGTTTCTGTCTGTTGCTACTTCTAATATGGTTGCTACTGCACTTGCTAAACAGGTTAGTTGGCTTTGCCACTTCCAATAAAATGGTGCTTAATGTCATCTTTATTACTAAGCATATGTCTCTGTAATTTAACTGTGCGGTAATTACTACCTGTTTGACTGTATCTACCAGATCATGTTAGAAAGCTTTTTGGTATTATTGTTATTTATCATATCTAATTATCTATGACTTTGTGCATGCAGCACTTCTAGGACTTTCACTGCCTTTCATGAGTAAATATGTTTGTGTAGGATAGAGAGGAAGTGCAGCATCACATATCTGTCTTGCTTTTTCTTGGGTTAGCATGTGGCTTTGTGATGATTTTGTTCACCTCGTTATTTGGTGCGGCAACACTTACTGGTATTGAAAATGAATGTTTTAGCCATTTGTGCTCTTCAACACATTTTGGGTAACAAGAATTCGCTAAGGCTGGAAAGGTAGCAAGGCCAATCCCATGATTGATGAATTTTCTGTTTATGCCTTTTGCAGCTTTTACTGGGCCAAAGAATGGACATTTAGTACCTGCAGCTAATACTTATGTCCAGGTTTGTTTTTCTTCTGATTATATAACCTTCAATTTAAATGAAGATTGTAATTAATGTTTCATAAATTCAAGAAATCATAGAACATTTCATGGAGGGAGGTAAGTGATTTCCATTTTCAGTTCTTGTAAGAGTAAACAAAGGTTTTATATCAACATTTTTATTGAATGAAGGTACACAAACTAGCAAATAAGATTCTGCTTTTGTTTCTTAATTATTTATCTTAAAAATTATCAAGCAAAGGTATCATCTGCTGCTCGATTTAGTTACACCAAATATTTTTTGTGTTAGATTCGAGGCTTGGCATGGCCTGCTTTACTTGTTGGATGGGTTGCTCAGAGTGCAAGGTGCAAATATGCTATTTATTTTTCATGTGTGATTTTCTGAAGTTAGTGGTTGCAAATTTTTATGTCAAATCTGAGATATACTGCTCTTGACATTCTACTTTGTGTTTGCTGTTCAATTTGGTGATACAGTTTGTCTTTATTAGAAACTCTTGGCTAAAATTTTACTTGCTTTGAGTCTTTGACATTTCGCCCATAGCAAGGCTCTTTTGTCAATACTGCTTGCTGTATGTTGATGTTATCTCGTGCTTCTTATATTTTAAATGAAAGTATGAATTTTCCTCTTTCTGATTTACTGCCTAAATTATTCTTTATGCCGTTTGTACAACCATTTTAAAGTTGCTCTTACTGTGAGCAGAGTTTAATGTAATATTGAGTAGACCTTTACTTTTTATGATTTTGATAATAGGGTAAGCATTGGGTTCTCAATTGATTCATTGTCTTGGTATTCACATTTGCTCTTGCAGTCTTGGTATGAAAGATTCCTGGGGACCCTTGAAGGCTTTGGCTGCTGCCAGTGTTATAAATGGAATTGGCGATATGCTTTTGTGCAGCTATTTAGGCTATGGTATTGCAGGAGCTGCATGGGCTACAATGGCATCGCAAGTATGCCGAGCAAACACTTATGCATCATAATGCATTAATGGTATTGTATATGGTTCTGCCTATTTTCAATGTACTGAAATCAGTGTCCACTGCTTTTCTCTTCCCTTTCTGTGTCTAGGTTGTTGCTGCGTATATGATGATTCAAACTTTAAACAATAAGGGATACAATGCGTTTGCCTTCTCAATTCCTTCAGGGAAGGAATTTCTGTCAATACTTGGTCTTGCTGCTCCTGTATTTGTCACGATGATGTCAAAGGTTGCATAAAGTATTTTATTATATTTGTGACTCTTTAACTGGAATAATCTAACCTTTTAACGTAAGTGAAAATTCTGATGTTTAGGTGGCTTTCTACGCTCTACTTACATATTTTGCTACATCAATGGGTACACATCCAATGGCTGCCCATCAAGTTAGTTTTGCTCCTTTCTCTCATTTTGTAATTCTATCCCTTTGCTTTCTATCTGTGCATTTTCAGAAACCAATTTCAAGGCCGGTGATAACTCTACTCTTACTCCAGGTCATGGTTCAAATCTACATGGCATGTACAGTAAATGGTGAACCTCTCTCCCAAACTGCTCAATCATTTATGCCTGAGTTGATGTATGGATCAAATCGGAGTTTATCAAAGGTTAGTGTTACACATTCACTGGTTTTGAAAGATCTCTCCCCTCCCCTATTATATATGGGTTTCAGATCTCTCTTTTGTACCCGGTTGAATTTCATGTTATAAAGGAAGAAGATCTTTCTTTTTGGTTAGGAAAGTTAGTTATATAAAATGATACTCTGTTCTCCTTATTAATCCGTGTTGCAGATTCTCTCAATACGTTGTTTTGTATATTCAATAGTGCCCCTGAATTTATATAATATCAACAGGCCCGATCACTTCTAAGGTCTCTTGTAATTATTGGAGCTATAGTTGGAGTGTTATTTGGGATTGTTGGAACATCTGTTCCTTGGTTTTTCCCCTACATTTTTACACCTGATCTGATGGTCATCCAGGAGGTCAGTTCTTGTATTTTTAAACTTTAGCTTGGAAATTTTCACCATCTCCTTTCTCTTCATTGTGTGACAGGATATACAGATGGAAATGCAGAGATTTTTATGAAATAAACATAGTTGTGGAATTTAGGCCCGAGTTACTCAGTTAGTAGTTAACTTGTGTGTTTGTGATCATGCAGATGCATAGGATACTGATTCCATTCTTTGCAGCGCTGGTTGTGACACCCTCAACAGTCGGCCTGGAGGGAACATTGCTGGTATGTTCAAGTTAGAATATTAGGATTCTTATTATTTAAGGAGTTTTCTCATGATAGTAGTCTTTTTCGGTTGGATTTGTATTAATTGCACTATACTAGTACTAGACCTTGAATTTTTGTATAAATGTGAGTGTCAAAGACCAATCTGTTAAGAAGCTTAAGTTGTTTGGCAGAGGTTCAGTAATGGTTTTATATCTTTTAACACATCCCATCGTGAAATAGCCTTTTGGATTTGGAAGTGTTGACAAATACACATGCCTACCTAATTATGAAAAATAAGGGCAACAAGAATCAAGCTCCTAACCACTTGGTGGCTCTGTATCCTGTCAAAGATCAATTCTCCTAAAAGTTTAAGTTGTTACCAAGATTGGTTTTATATTGATAACAAGGAGTATTAGATTACTGTTTTACAAGATATATCTCACATCATATGACATTATTTATACTGTTTACTATTTGTGCCCCACTGATTTCAACAGTTCAATTCAACTTCTCCACATTAAATGGGAAAGTAAACATATGGCTGTGCTATTGCTTCTCACAAGCTTCTCTTCTATGATGTCTGAGGACTTCTTCCAATGAATGTCTTGTGTGCTTCTATTTTTTGTGGTTGCATTAACCTTGCTCAGCTAAACTCTCTGGTTGTGTGTGTTTTTCTTTTCAAGATTTTTAGACCATAATGGCAACTTACACACGATGTCATGGCAATTTAACTTGTCTCCAACTTGATTTGTTTTACTACTCATATTCAAAGTAGAGCAACTGAATGCATTATATAACAACTGTTATTGTAAGTTTGAAACTCAAATGTATATTTTCTCATGCAGGCTGGACGGGATCTAACATTTATAAGTTTGTCAATGATTGGATGCCTCTGTCTGGGTGCTCTAGTATTATTGGTAGGAACTTTTTCTTGGTCTCCTGGTGTACATAGTAATATTGCTTGACCCATTTTGCCGTAACACCCAATTCACCTTGATACCAGATTTTAAGTAGTAGATATGGTTTGCAAGGCTGTTGGTTTGCCCTCGCTGGATTTCAGTGGGTAAGACTCCAATCTAGGACTTAAATTGCAAGTATCATTTCTTGAAAATATTCTGACGTGCATTTCTTTTATGGTCATTAGACTCGGTTTTCAGTGGCCCTTCTGCGCCTTCTCTCTCCCAATGGCATTTTATACTCGGAAGATTTAGGCCAGTATAAGCTGCAAAAGTTGAGGGCTGCCTAGTTTTGGAATCATGTTAGTTATTGCCTATCATTTAAATGTATTACAATATAGTAATACATTTCAAATTAAGTGACGGCTTACAATTACATTACATTTATTCAATGTTAACACAATGCAGTGCAAGAAAAATACTGGTACGTGTAATGTGGACTCCTATTGCAATCCATGTGGGGAGAACTTTAGGTTTTGGTTTCTATATCATATTAGTATATTTTATTCGTACATAGCAAAAATTAAATTAGGAAAAAAAAAACATGTATAAATACTTTGGAACATTACTTTGATAATAATTTGTTTTTAGAAGTGAGAACATTAATATTTTTCTTTGGTTTAAGTTGAATTTTATTTTATTAAAGCGATTCCTCTAAAAGTATTTAGATGATTATTATTCATGAAGAATTTAAAATCACAACAAATTTGTCTTTAATAAATTAAATATAAAACATAGAGGAAATGAGGAAAAATATTATTTCGAATTTTTTTTTGCTTTACGATAATGCTTTTGTTAGTATTATATGTTTTTATTTTATTTTGATAAAAAAATATTTGTTAAAACAAATCAAGTATGTAAGTGTAAATAGTAAAAAAGAATTGATTAATTACAGAGATACATTTATGAAGGACAATTTATATAATTAAAAGTATAAGTAATTGAAAAGTAGAATGAATAAAAAAAAATAGTAATTGTAATATTCTCTAAGTTAGTATTTGAAGAGAATTTTAATGGTAGGAAAGACATGGAATAAAATTTTCTATATAGAGATAATATGATGTAGAACATTTTTCTTTAAATTATAAAAAATATAGTTAAGTGTAAGGGCGCGCCAATTCAGATCAGCACTCAACTTTGAAATTGTTTGCGTGCGTATTTCATTCTAAAAGTTTTAGATTTTTTAACAAGATTTTACTTTGTAACCTTACAAAATAGTGATAAGCAATTTAAGAAAAATATTCAAATCATAAAAAAAAAAGTAATGTACTCATAACCTTTAAGTTGTTATTATAAATGGTTAAAAAATAAAGAAATAGAAATATTTTTCATAATAAAAAGATTAATATATTATTTATGTTATATTTATTATTTTTTTTTTACTACTTCTGATTACAAAATCTTAACCGTTGATTTTCATCAATCTAACGGTTATAATATATTGGGTCACACTTAATTTTTAATAAATTATAACTGTTAGATTGACGGAAATAATAAGAGGTAGTAAGAAAAAAATTAATAAATATAACATTTTCCTTTATTTATTCAAATAAGATCAATGTACTATTTTTAACGACGTTGTTTTAATTATAAATTTTTTATTCACAAATTTAAAAGGTTTTTTTTTTTTTAAAAAAAAAAAAAACTCCCCACAATCCAACCACAATAGGATTACACTTCCCAAAAATAATTCTGCGGCGTTTTCTTTTCAGTTCTTGAAGAATCAGCCAGTTTATCATAATTATTTCTTAGTGTTTATCCTGAGACTTCAAATGGATTTTCACCATTGTTTGTGATGTCATCAGCTGTACCAAAGTTCTAACCTCTATAAGTAAACGCAATAAGTAACGGTTCGCGATTTTCTCAGCTAAACTTGATTAAAGAAACATACTCTCGGATTTGTATTAGAAAAAGAAACATACTCGGATTCCTTGTTCATTGACGAGTCTCGTGATTCTCGATAAGATTCACATAATTTTGGTATGATATTGAAGGCCAGAGAGGGATTATGATAAGTTTGCTTGTTATACATATAATGTTCACATGATTGGAAAAGAATGATAACAAAATATTTTCAATATGTTGTTGATGGAAAAGATGAAATGAGGTTGAGAGAGGTGCGATTCAGAAGCAGTGAGAGTTTGAGTGTCATTTTTGCTGTGTGGAAGAGGAAGCCAAACAGTGAAACAGTGGTTCCAATCAAATTGAGACACGACAAAAGTAGGGCCACTTGAAAGGAACGCAAGGGTCCCCGCTCAAAGCTCCTGTTTAACGACCGAATGAATTTCAGTTGCCATTGTTGCTCTGCCCTTTCTTCCCGCTACAGTCTTCAAAATCGAATAGGGCCCACTCACTTGTCGGAGATAAAAAAAATTTCCTACGAGAGAAATATCAAAACCAATTTTTGTCGGCAAAGGATATTTTAAGAAGGTTTTATAATTTTCATTTAACACGAGAATTACAATTTTCTTACACATCTTTCGATTTTTGTGCTGACATGAGTCCTATATATAATTTTTTCTAACACATGGGTTCCACATACTTTTTATCTCTACAACATGAGATTTCAATTCTCCTTCAATATGAGAATTATAAAACTCTTATAAGAATCTTACTACGAATTAATTTTACCGTTAAATCGATTATGTGGATTAATATATTTATTTTTATCTTTGTATAATTATTATTCCCCGTCATTAATGTGAAACCATTAAATATGAGAAATCGTAATCATACAAAAGTAAAAATAAATATAAAATATGAAAAATCATAACCATACAAAGATGAAAATAAATATAACAATTGATAGTAACATTGATAATAATACTAATTGGTTGTTACAATATCTTTTTCTATTCTTTATATGTATATATTCGATGAGAAAAATAAATTTTACATGATAAGAAACTCACCTTTTAAATAAAAAAAAGTGACACACATTCTTTATTTGTTTTCTTACCTGCCAATTCGATTTTGAATACTGTAGCGGGAAGTAAGGGCAGAACAATAATGGCAACTGAAATTCATTCGGTCATTGACAGGAGCTTTGAGCGGGGATCCTCGCGTTCCTTTCAAATGGCCAACATCAATCATTGCTCACTCATCGTGTCGTTATTGCAAACTCACTTTTTTTCGTCTTTTCTGTCTTAACGCTCAATTTGATTGGAACCACTGTTTGGCTTCCTCTTCCACACAGCAAAAAATGGCACTCAAACTCTCACTGCTTCTGAATCGCACCTCTCTCAACCTCATTTCATCTTTTCCATCAACAACATATTCAAACCATCATTTGCCTCCTCGTTTCCTTCCACCTTCCCTTCTCAACAACGCTGCTCTTCCTTCAAACCAATGCCTCGCAGGGTCCAGACGTCGTCGTTTTGGGATCGTAACCGCTCGCGTAGTCACAGGTCACGAACTCAGTGATGAATCCGAAGACAAAAAAGCTCAAATAAATAAGGGTTATGAAGTGGGAAAAGATAAAGAAATGGAACTAGCAGAGCAGAGTGTGTGGAATCAGATGAAGGAAATTGTAATGTTTACTGGGCCAGCAATTGGGCTTTGGTTATGTGATCCGTTGATGAGTCTCATCGATACTGCAGTTGTTGGTCGCGGAAGCTCAATCGAACTTGCTGCTTTAGGTATATTCTAATCTCATTGTACACTTTTTATCTAAGTTAAATTATTATCGTTTTAAAAGTGGATAATAATATATGATTTTCATTTCCCATGAGCAGGTCCTGCTACGGTTGTTTGTGATTACATGACCTTCACGTTCATGTTTCTTTCAGTTGTTACTTCCAATATGGTTGCTACTGCTCTTGCTAAACAGGTTATTATTTATTTATGGGAAAAGTTCAGCAAGTGTGTTTTGATTCAGAATCACGTATGCTCCTATGGTCTTTTTTATCACATATGTTTCTGTGGGTTATAAAAAAGTAAAAAATCACAGGAATATATATGATAAAAAACATACCTTTTTGCTAACTACATAGACATATGTGATAAAAAAAAACCGCCGTAGCATAAGTGATTCTGGAGTAAAAGCACAAGGATATTGGTGAACTTTTTCCTTTATTTATTTATTTTGGCGTAAAAAAGGTTCATATTCAGTTAATGAATAAATGTTTATAGCTTAACCTTCAATGTCTCTAAAATTTAACTATGCGGTGATGCTGCTACCACCGTTTTATCAAATTATTTACTTGATTTAGCTAATTATAACTACTTGTTTGACTATATCCACTGGATAATGTAACTAAACTTTTTGTTATTATTGTTATTTATCATATCTATGACTTTTTGCATGCAGCACTTCTAGGACTTACACAGTTACACTGTCTTTCATGAGTAAATATGTTTTGTGTAGGATAGAGAGGAAGTGCAGCATCACATATCTGTCTTGCTTTTTGTTGGGTTAGCATGTGGCTTTTTGATGCTTTTGTTCACAAGGTTATTCGGTGCAGCAATACTCACTGGTATTGAAAATGACTGCTTAGCCATTTGTGCTCTTCAACACATTTTGGATAAGAAGAATTCGCTAGTGCAAGAAAGGTAGTAGAGTCAATGCCATGATTGATGAATTTACTATTTATGCCTTTTTCAGCTTTTACTGGGTCAAAGAATTTACATGTAGTGCCTGCAGCTAATAGTTATGTCCAGGTTTGTTTTCTTCTATTTCTATATCCTTCAAATTTACTGAAAATTGAAATTAATGTTTTATAAATTTAAGAAATCAATCAATCATAGAACATTTCGTGGAGGGAAGTAAGTAATTTCCATTTTTATTTCTTGTGATAGCAAATAAAGGTTTTATAAGAACACATTTTTAAATGAAGGTACACAAGGTCGCAAATAAGATTCTGCTTTTGTTTCTTAATTATTTATATATGTTGAAAATGATTAAGGAAAGGTGACATCCGCTGCTTGATATAGTTACATTAAGTTTTTTTTTTTTTTTTTTTGGTGTTAGATTCGAGGCTTGGCATGGCCTGCTTTACTTGTTGGATGGGTTGCTCAGAGTGCAAGGTGCAAATATGCTATTTATTTCTCATTTGTGATTTTATGAAGTGATTGGTTGCAAATTTTTATTTCAAATCTAAGATACTGCTCTTGACATTCAATTTGGTGTTTGCTGTTCAATTTGGTGATAGAGTTTGTCTTTAATTAGAAACTCTTAGCTAAAACTTTACTTGCTTTGACATTTCCCCGATAGCAAGGATCCTTTGTCAATACTGCTTGCTGTATGTTGATGGTATCTCATGCTTCTTATATTTTAAAAGAAAGTATGAATTTTCCTTTCTCTGGTTTACTGCCTAAATTTTTCTTTATGCTGTTTGTGCAACCATTTTAAAGTTGCTCTAACCATGAGAGGAGTTAATGTAATATTCAGTAGACCTTTAACTTTATGATTTTGATAATATGGTAAGCATTGGGTTCTCAATTAATTCTTTGTCTTGGTATTCACATTTGCTCTTGCAGTCTTGGTATGAAAGATTCCTGGGGACCCTTGAAGTCTTTGGCTGCTGCCAGTGTTACAAATGGAATTGGCGATATGCTTT